ACCAGCTCTGCTGCAGCACGGGGGCTGTGAACTGCAGCACATGAGCCTCTTTGCAGAGATCCAAGCTAGCTGCTTGTTCCCACCCTTCCTCTCCACTGTAACAGGTGTGGGGCTGCACAGCGCCGGCACAGCCGGCAATGCCAGGAATGTGCCGAATGCGTCGGGGCTTGACTGCAGGAGGTCTGGGCACAGAGCAGCCGATGAGTCACTTGGAGGGCTGGCAGCAGCCCATGAACCCGTGGACAAGTGAACCCAAAGTCCCCCCCAAACCCAAATCCATGCGAGAAGCAGCCGCCGTCCAACCCACAGCTGGCTGGATGCTCTGAGCCCGTGCTGTGCTGTGGTGGCGGCAGTGGGGCTGAGGGTTTGGCATTGGGGGTGGAAGCAGAACGATGTTTTGCCCCCCAACATCCCGAGTTGCTGCCCCGGGAATGGGAAATCCAAAGGCTGCACCCATATGCAAAGGGGCCGAGCCCTGCTGCAGGCAGATCTTATCGGCCGCCGCATCTGTGCTTATTTACAGCTCACTCCTGTCTGTGTGGGTTTTTTTGGCCGTTCGATGGTCTTCTATCTTGATTAAAACCATCCCCACAGCAGCCCTCTGCTTTCCAGCCTGCACGGGGTGGTGCCGTGCAGATGTTTGTCCAAAGCTATTTATGAGCACTCGCAGCCTGGACGCCCCCGGGGTTGCAGGCAGGGCTGAGCTGCTGGAGAAGACAAAATCCACTGCGTGTCGGTGTCTGAAATCCCAATCTGCATCGGGCTGTGAGTACCTCTACCCCATGGCTGCAGCAATGGGACCGTGCTGAAGGAGGGGAGCATGGGCTGAGCATGGATGTTTGCTCCATTGCTGCAGGAAAAGGGGAAGCATGGGGCTGGGGATGGAGATGCTTTCCTTACCCCGTGGGTCTGCTTTGGTGGCTGAGCTTTTTCTCATCCCCTCAGTGGCTGCAGGCACTGATGTGCTCTGGCATGGGATGGGGGGGCCGGCGGCAACTGCAGCCCAAGGTTAATCATCAGCTGCCCCACGGGATGGCTAACAGCAGTGGGAAGGGAAGGAGATGTGTCCAGTCCCTGCGGCACTGGGGGGGGGTCTGTGCCTGGGGAGCGGGGAGATGTCCCTGCCAAGGGATTAACCCTATACTGACAGCACGCCTGGCTGCAGGTGATGACTTTTGTTAGAGGGAGCGTTCGTCCTTCCCAGACACACAGGGACGGTGCCAGCTGCGTGCTGCACCCCACAGCATCCCCCCCTCTGCTATTCTCCGCTGCTCATTGGGCTGCAGAATCCAGCCTCACTGCACAGAGGCAGGATGAGGCCCTCAGGGTCGGAGACGTGGAGCAGCGTGGGATGCTCATAATGAGGACTTTGCAACTGCCACCAGGTGCAGCTGCTCAGTGCTGTAGGGACAGGCACGAATCCCCCAGGGTGCAGAGCCCCTCGGGAGCCCCTTTGCGTTGGGAGAGGGTGGATGGGTGAGCTGCACCGCGGTGACGCGCGAGGGGCTTTGGGACACCGTAACCAACGCCGATGGAAGAATCCTACCGCTGCGGCGCGGTGCCGAGGGGGTTAAAGCAGCCGGGCTGCGGTGGCTGTTAATGATTGATACTGACCGCGGTCCCGAAGGGCTCTGCAGGAAATCATCCAGCGGCAGCTCACAGCCGCCGGCTTTGGCAAACGGTGCGGACGGAAGGGACGCGCGGTGGCGGCGGTGAGTGCGTGCGGTGCGGTGCGGTGCGGTGACACACGTGGGCCATTGTCTGCGGGCGGGGGGGGGCGCGGGGCGACGCGGATGCGGCCGCCGAAGTGTCGCTGCGGTGCCCGTCGCCGAAAGGATGCTGTCGCGATTATCGTGTGCGGTGGTTTAAGCAGGTGCTGAGGATTTAACCCGAAAGGATTTCCCCACGCTGCTGCCGTAATCCCCCACCCCTGACCTGAGTTGCCCGAGGAGAGCTCGGCTCTGGTTTGCTTTCTGCCTCGATTGCTTCAGACAGGTATTTCTGCTGCTGGAGGTGGTTTGGTAAAGAGCTTAGGGAGAGCTTTATATCCCTCAGGCCTGGGGTTGGTGTGCAGTTCTGTGGCCATATCTGTGCAGCACCTGGTTTGGAGGTTTTGCCCACAGCACCACGCCGGACCCTGCGCCCACGTCCCCACTGTGACCCCATGGCCAGGGGAATGGTCTGCAGATCCAGAATGGTTCCAGGTTGGTGGGGGCTGTGGTTTTGTGGGGGGAGGCTGATGGCTGTGTCCTGAGCTGGGTTATGCACTCCACGTCTCCTGTCTGCTCACCCACGCTGTGCCATGTGCATCTCAGCGTCTGCACAGCTCTCTGTGGGCACAGTGGGTGCTGGGATGTGGGTGTATTTGTCCCCAAGAAGGGACAGCAGGGCGATGTGGCTGAAGTGGGCACAGAGCTGTGCCCCCATCCTCGGTCACTGCTGTCACAACGCTGCGACATTCCTCAAATGTCAGACCATGGATACGGGCTGCCCCAGGCTTTGCATCTCTCTCAGCAGCGCATTCCAGCCGGGCTGTCCCTTTGAGGGATGCCTTTGCCTCTCCCCCCTTCCAGAGCCGGAGCTGTGATGGAGCTGGAGTTACCAGGGAGATCAAACATAAACTCTCTGCTTCCCCTGGACTCTTCTCCTTGGCTGGAGCAGGAGGGGAGTGCCGGCCCCCCCGCCGCAGGCAATGCTGACTGCCAGCAGCCGCTTTGTTCTCTGGAAATCCCCTGAGGTCCTTGGGCTCCATCCCGCCCTGCAGTGCTGAGCACAGAGGGGGCTTTGCCATCTTATCTCCCATTTATCCAGGCTGGGACCCCGGATCGATGATGGTCCCAACCTCATAGGGTCCCTCAGGTGTCACCGCTCAGTGCCACCACCGCCCAGCTGCGTGGTGGTGACGTTACACGTTGTGCTCAGTGATGCAGAGTCACCCTGTGGGATGTGGGCACGCAGGCAGCCGCCGTGCTCCCTCCCTTCCGGGGACTTTGCCCAGCAGCTGCCAGCCCCAGCGCTGCGTGCAGGATCCAACTCAGGCTTTGTGACTTTCCCTCCTTGTGTATCTCCCATGGATTTACTGCCAGGATGTGTTTGCAGCCCGGAAAGCCCAGCCTGGCTGAGGTGCTGGTGGGCTCAGTGGCCCACCCTGTAGGGTGCACAGAATGCAGCAAAGCATTGGGTGCAGGCTGACGTCCAGTGATGGATGGTGAGGTGCGGTGCTGTGGCAGCTGACGTGTGTGGTTTGTCACCAGGGTGGGGTGGCAGAGAAGACGGGTGCTCATAGCACTCTCCCTCCTGGGGCTGCTCAGAGTTCCTTCCCTGCATGGCCAGGCTTGGAGGTGCCACATGGCACTTGATGGCCAAAGCGGCCCAGCGGTGTCCCAACACCAGGGCCAACTCCTAAGCCCAGAACAGGGCAGGAGGTCAAATAAATGCATTGCATCCCCAGCAGCTGAATGGGGAACACAGCAGTGCGTGGGCCTGTAGGAGCAGGGTGTGCAGATGCTGCTCGGATGCATCCCCGCGCTGTGCCAGGAGCAGCAGGAGCCAGGAGCTCGTTGTTGTTAGCGTGGGGGCTGTGCTGGCTGCTGGCCCCCATCCCTGCCTCGGCGGTGAATGCGGCTCCGGAAACGCTCTCTCAGCTCAGCTGGCGGCGTGGCTGGGGTTAGGGCATGGATTGGGTTACCCTAATCCAATGGGGGAAAACCAGCAGTGAGAGGGAAACCTCTGTGCCTGGCTGCGCACCCAGCGCGGCTGTGTGGGTGCCCACAAAGAGCTTTCATCCCAGGGCTGAGCTCAGTGCATTTCCAGGCTGTGCTGAGCCCGTGTCAGTGCCTGGTTAGGATGTGGGGCAGGCCACGGGGTTGCGTGGAGCTCTGCCCTCCTCTCTTTGCCTTCATCTCCTCCTCTCTCCACAGCCTTTTCCCTTTCAGCCCCCCCAAGTGAGCCAAGCCTCGCTCATAACTCCTGTAAGCAGAAGGGAATTTGGAAACGCTGAGAGCAGCAATTCCCAAACTTCTCCTCCATCAGCTCGGCTCCTGGCTGCTGATTCCCCGCTCTTCCCTTTGTTCAATTCCTATGAATTCCTGTCCGCTTGTTCTGCCCATCCTCCCACAGTGCTGTGACCCACGCTGGGGCTGTCACCGTGCACCACGCAGCAGAGCAGGGAGGGCGCACAGCCCTCGTTATCCCACTTGGATCAGTTGGAATGGCTGCACAGGGAGCAGCCCGGCCCCCTCCTGCTGCCTTTGTCACGGCCCCTCGCTCTGCGTGGGGACGGCAGAGGAGCTGAGTGCTGGCACTCATCCTCTGGCTGTTGGGTTGCTGCTGCGCCTGCAGAATTGCTTCTATTTATTTTTTTCTCTCACATCCAATGTGCAGAACTTGTGCTCTGAGCAGCGCACAGAGGGTCCGGTTTATTATGGCTCAGGGGGAAATAAATCTTCCCAGAGCGCCACTGATTCCTCGCAGACAAAGCTGCTCCTTTGTGCTCCCGGCTGTGCAGTGGGGCTGCTGTGTGGATGGAGGAGAAAGGCTCCATTTCCCGATGCTCTGCTCCCAGATTTTTGCCCTGTGCTCCCCAACAGGTCAGGGCTCAGCAGTTTGCACGGGGCTGCTTGGAAGTGGGTTCTTCTCTCCCACCTCCTCGCAGGGTGCCCATGGATGACACCCTGCATTCCCTTCTTCCTGGGAAAACAAACAGATTTCAAGGGCTTGGTCAGAGGACAGGGATGTGGCTGAGGAGAGGGAGGGAGAGAGGTGAAGAAAAGGCTGGAAAAACAGAGGAAGGAGGCCAGGATGAAAGGAGGGTTTGGCTCACAGCCACCTGAGCCCCTCGCCCGGGAGCTGCCTGGATGCTCGCCCCCGAAGCCGCTATCGGAACGTGCGTAAATGCTCCAGATTTACGTCTCCAGATTTACACCTCCTGATTTACACGGGGCCCCTCAACGGGGCTGGGGCCAGGGGGTGGGGAGGTGCGTGCAGAGCTGAAATTCGGGTTGGGGTGTGGGAGGACAAGGTGCTTCGTTCCCGGTGGCGTGCAGCCAACACGGGAGCTGGGGGATGCTGTTAGCAGGCTGAGAGCCCTTGGAGGGGTTGGCCTGGATTGAGCCTGACCAAGGAGGGGAGTGCAGTCAGGATCCCCTTCCTCACAGGTCTGCTCTGGGTTTGGTGCTTGGCTGGTTCCCAGGGATGGGAGGAGAGGCTGTACGCCCCTCCTCCTCTCCTGCTCCCAGCCCATGTGGATGACAGCTCACAGCCTCCACACCACAAGGATGGCCACAGTGTAGGAACGGTTCCTGGGTTTTGGGTGCAGCTCAGAGGTGACTCGTTCTGTCCCCAGCTCCAGTTCTCAGTGTGCTTTTTGTATCCTGGTGTATCCAGCTTGCTGTGCACACTTCAAGGAGCTCTGCCAATGCATGGTAGCAGTGTGAGATGGGGAGGTAGCACTCATGGTAGCAGTGTGAGTTCCAGTGCAAAGAACTGCAGAACAGACTGGACACCTACATGGATGTGGAGCCTTATGCACATGACAAGCACTGATGGAGAGGGGCTGTGCACCATGCCCTGGAGACCAGGAGGGGTTCTGACCTCCTCCAGGGCAGGCAACTGAAGAGAAAGAGAATGGGATGCAGAGGAACTCCAGGCAAAAGCCTGAGCTGCTGGGAACAGCTCCTAGACAGAGGCAGCCAGCTGTGAATCCTGCCAGGGATGCACAGTGCTACTGATGAGCTTTGGTGATGTGCATGTGGCACAGTGCTGCTGCTTGCACCAAGGGGGAGTGCAGGAGAGGGATGCACCCATGCAGCACTTTGGTCACCGCAGGGTCCTTGGGTTGTACTCCTGGCCGTGTCCCAAGCTTTTGTTTGCAAACGCTGGGCAGCAGTGACCTTCACAGTGCAGGAAGGGCACCGGGTGAGCCAGGAGGGTTTTCCCCATGGGGAAAGGGTGGGGTTGTCCTCCCCGCGCTCGGCAAACTTTGACTTTGGGGAGGGGGGAGGAAAGCAGCACCCAGAGAAAGTTTGTTCTTCACTTCCTGTGTTTATTCCCTTCCCTTTCTCCCTACCTTTTGGAAAAAAGCAATGGGAGATTGAGAATATGCTTTTTTTGTGTGTGTGTGTGTTTACCCTAAGGAAAAGCCCCAGCTTTTCTCTCCTGAGAGATCCAGGGCAGCCCCCACCCAGAGCTGCTGCTCAGAGTCCCAGTGTATGGCTGCTCTCTCTGGCACAGATTTGCCCATGGCCGTGGCCACCCTGGGCGACTGATGGCTGTGACATGGCCCAGCTGGCAGAGGCAGAACAGCGCTGCCCTGAGACCACGCAGCCAAGGCTGAACCCCACTTCACAGCTCCTGAAGCCACTACTGAGAGCAGCTCTGTGCCACCCTTGAGTGGCACCAGGGATGGGGCAGGCGGTGAAGCGTTGGGGTGTTTGCTGGCTCTGGTGTTGGTGCTGGCACTGGGTGCACAGCAGCGGGTTGGCACGTGCCTATGGGCCGTTGGGGGACCTTGATCGCTGGCAGCAGATGGTGGCAGTGATTGGGGAGCTGCAGTGGTGTGGATGAGTGCACGTGTCCCACCCCACAGCCAGCAGCGTGCCAGCAAGAGGAGCTGTGCATTGCTCCTGGCTGCCCTCACAGCAGTGTCAGCCAATGGTGCTCTAAAGGGGTGCACAGGGTTGACTGGGAGCCACCATCTCAGCCTTGCTGGACCTTCCTCTGGTCTGCTGCTGGTGACGTGGTTCTCATCCCCGGCTTCTCCTCGCTACCCTCCTGGCAGTGACAAGGACTGTTTGTGTTGGCCAAGGTGAGCATTAGGGTTGGCACCAGCATTGGGGTTGGTACTAGCATTGGGGTGGGCTCCAGCACTGACCCTGCTCACCTCAGTCTGGCCAGTGAGGGAGTCTGTGCCTCCAGGTCCTGATTTCGGGAGGAGCAGGTGAATGATGCAATGCTGCTGACGCTGGGCTGAGCAGCACTGCATGCTGGCCGTGTCCCGAGGTGGTCCCAGGGCACCGGCAGAGCAGGGACGTGGTGTGATGGAGGCCAGCTGCTTGCTGCGCTCCGCTTCCTTCTTTGGAGGTTTCCTTGGAGGGGAGGGAAGGCAGCGCTGACATCTCAGTGCATTATCATAACAGTCCTGGTGCATTCGCATTGGTTTTTCAAAGCGCCGTGCCCAGGGGGAGGGCTGGGTAACCCCGGCTGTGCCTCCCCCCTTCTTCTGCTGGGTTGCAAAGGGCTCCCCAGACCCCATCCCCGAGTGTCGAAGCCCCACGCGGTCCCCATCCCCTGTGCTGCACAGCGGTGGTTGGTGCTGGTGGGGGTCCCGTTGCTCTCCTGATGTGACCTGGGAAGGGACGGAAGCGCAGCAGGGAGGGAGCGGGGAGGGTTTGGGGACAGAAGCAGGGGGAAGGGACGCAGACAGCGAATGCAGGGCAGAGGCAGCGCCGGCACCGCGCGGCTCCCTTCCTCACCGCCGCACCGTCCCCTCCCTGAGCACACTGCTCTGTGCTGGGGGGGGGGACCCCGCAGCCCCCATCTTGCCCCGCTCGCCCTTCGCTCGCCGGATCGCTGCACCTGGGTTGGAGGTGGGGGGGGGGGGGGGGGGGAGGCGGCGAGCTCTGCGCTGCCCTTCGCTTCTCCTCTGCTTGGGGACGCGAACGGGAGCCGCAAGCTTGTCCCCGCTTTGCCGCCTCGCCAAGCCGCACCGCATCGGGGCTGCCAGCGCCCGCGGGAGCCGCTCTCCGAGCTCCACCGCTGCCACCTTGGGAAATACCGATGCCACCGGCGCGGATTGGCGCAGCTGGGAAAGGACACCGAGCCCCACCGAACTCTGCTGGTGTCCCCCTGCCCGTGCGGCACCGCCGCGCCCGTGGCACGTGGGGCATAAGCGGTCTCTGGGTGGCACGGGACCTGCCTTGCCCGCTGCTGCCATGGTGGGAGCCGGCAGCCGGCGCTGAGCTCGGAGGGCCACGGCATCATGCTGAAGTTTCGGGCGGATCGGAGGGTGAGGTAGGAACCGCCGGGGTGGGCAGGGGGAGGTCGGGTGGTACGGAGGTGGTGGCGGTGGCTGGGGACCCTCAGCCAGGGTAGGGACTGCTGCATTGCAGTGCTTGGGAGGCGATGTGAACTCGGAGTTTCTGGAGCAGGGTCAGCCGAGACAGATGGTTCTGGGGGGGGTTAAGGAGCTTCTCTCATGTTTCTGAGGCCTGGGGGTGGGAACGGCACAGGGAGGGAGCGTGAGTGCCTGGGTTGGTGCCGGGAGGAGGCACAGGGGCTGTGATGCTGGGTAGGCAGCTTGGCCTGGAGCAGAGCTCAGCCTTTGGGCAGAGAAACCCACAGCAGTGTGCGGGTGGCGGGCAGGGCTGGGGACCTGGGGGATCTGGGGGTTGTGCTCAGTGGAGGCTTGGTGGTACCGGTGACTCAGGGCAGCCCCTACTATGCAGGGCTGAGGATCAGGGTGCTGCTTGCTCACTGCATGCACCCTCTGTGTCAGCATCGTGAGCTGCCCTGTCACTGCCATGCTGTGGCTCTCCAAACTGGGGACAAACGGTGGCAGAAAGCCCCTTTGGTGCCTTCTGAGCTGGGAGCAGGGGTTGGGGACGCTGCCTCTGCAGAGAACTCACATCAGATGCGCTGGCAGCACAGAAAAACCCGGTGCCAGGGGAGCGGGTGCTGCCCCTCGCTGCAGGTTGCAGATTTTTAGGGTAATGCCCAGCAAAGGGGAGAGCAGAGCTGGGTTCAGGACCAGGGTGGGACCTGCATGGGGGCAGCTCCCAGCGGGGCTCTTTTTGGCAGAAAGCAGTGGCTATCCCTGAGCCTGGCTGCAGCCCAGCCTCGGGGTGAAGCGTGCATGGATGGGATGGTCTTGGCAGATGTTTTCTTGCTCAAACTTCCCCTGTTTTGCTGACACTCAGCTCTTGGGCAGCATGACGGGCTGTTTGCACGCTGTCTTCATGGGTGGTCATAGGCAGCTGTGTCCCCATGCCCAGCAGTTTTGGGGGACTGTCGCCAAGAGGGGGTCATTTGCACCCCCCTGTTGCAAAGCAAACTTCCCAGGATGAATGTGGCAGCCCTCACCCAACTTGAGGCATCTGCTGCATTTTGGGCTCAGCTGGCTGCCAAAACCCCACCTGGGGATCTACTGAGAGCCCCCTTCTCCCCCACCAGCAGTGGGGCCAGGTGCTTTGTGACCCTGGCACTGTGGCAAATAGCCCTGAAACCAGCGAGCCCAAGCAGAGGATGTGACGTCGGCGTTGATGCTTTCAGCTCAGCCCAGGCTGAGCCTCGGCTGCTGCTCCTGCAGCGATTTATTCTGACAGCTGGGGGGGGGTTATGGAAATGTCTCACCACGCGACAGCCGCTGCTGTGTGATGTGTCCAGCAGAAGTAATGAGGTCTCAGCTGGCAGAGACCTCATTCCGGCTCTTGGCGAGATGAATGCAATCTGGGAAGCGCAGGTGAAAGGCGGTGCAAATGGTGCAAGAAGCGCAACAAAGCTCTGGTGCTGGAGCAGCAGAACGGTGCTAAAAGCAAAGGGATTTGGGGAGCAAGCGGGGACGGATGGAGCTCTCTGCTTTGCACAGGAGGGTGGGCAGCACCTCGCTGGGTTTCTGTGCACCCTTGGACCCCATCCTCCCCCTTCCTGGGTGCTAACAGAGCCCACTGCGTTGTGTCTTGCAGCCACAATGAAAGGCGGAACACCTTCCTGCACCCAGTGACAGGACAGCTCCCGGAAGAAAACTCAAGATTAGACTTGCAAAAGTAGGTTGGGTCCCACCTCTGTTTGGTTTCAGGACCAGGGTGGGCTGAGGGATAGGGAAACATCGCCTGGGGAGAGAGGGGAATGTGGGAACGCAGCCATACCGACAGCCCCATCTGTGCCAACAGGCCGACCTTGGACATGTCAAGCAAAGCAGGCAGCAAGCGCCCGGCGAACAGCAGCAACAGCAGCGAACCCTCCAACCACACCATGGTGACAGAGGTGGCTCCGGAGCGGCCCGGAGGCCGGGTGCGTGCCCGGGTCCACGTGGCACAGAGGGCAACGACGGAGCAGACGGGAAGCGTGGGTCCCCCCAGGGCACTGAGCTCATCCTCTCCTCCTCTGCAGGCGTCGCGCTCCTCCCGTAAGGGCATCGCCTTCGGGAAGCGCTCCAACTCCATGAAGAGAAACCCCAACGCCGCCGTCACCAAGAGCGGTTGGCTTTACAAGCAGGTGCCCCAGCCCCGCCGTGCTCCATCCCGAGGGAGTGCTCCTGTCAATGGCTGCTCCTCCCGATGGCTGCGTGCTGCCAGCGTCTCACTGCTACTCTCTTGCAGGCCAGCTCGGGGGTGAAGCAGTGGAACAAGCGCTGGTTCGTGCTGGTGGACCGCTGCCTCTTCTACTACAAAGGTACCACGTTTGTGGGTGTTCTTGTTTTTTGCAAGTGCTCGCTTTTGCGGGTGCTCACTTCTGTGGGTGCTTTTGTGAGTGTTTTTGCTTCGGCAGGTGCTTGCTTTTCGTGGCTGCGTGCTTTGGTGGGTGTTTGTGCTTTTTGCAGGTGTTTCTGCTCTTTGCAGCTGCTTGCTTTTTTGCGGGTGCTCACGTTTATGGGTGCTTGCTCCTGTGGGTGCTCACCATGCTGGGGCACTGAGGGGTTAATGCCCTTCGCCCGCCTCCTGGCAGCTCACTCAGCTCAGCTCTCCTTGGCAGCCGAGGGCGAGCATGAATTATTGAGCAGGTTGGCGTGCCGAGCAGCGGCACTGCTTGCAGGGGAGGGCGAAGCAACAGGAAGGCAGCGCATTGCCACAGGTGGGCTGCTCACCATGCGTGCCTGCTGGGTCCCACCTTGCCTCTAAACGCCCCTGTTTGCCCACCAGATGAGAAGGAGGAAAGCATCCTGGGCAGCATCCCCCTGCTCAGCTTCCGCGTGGCAGCCGTGCAGCCCTCTGACAACATCAGCAGGAAGCACACCTTTAAGGTGAGTGTGGGGCCGTGTGGGGCTTGGGGGAGAGGGGGGCTGATGCTGGTGGGATCCCTGCTGTGCCCTCCTCTCGCTTTCTTGGTGGTGGGGCGTGGAGCAGAGCCCAGCTGTGGAGAGGGGAACTGCCGGAATCCCCTGGGATGTGCTGGGGAAACTGAGGCATGAAGGGGGCAAAGCGGCTTCACCTCCCACTGTGTGGGCTGGGAATGCTTTCCCCTCCAAGCCCTGCTCCCATCCTGCCCATTCCAGTGGCATTTCTCAGCAGAGCTCTCTCTATCAGGCACAGAGCATCCCCAGCTCCATTTTTTTTTGGCTTGCTTTGACTGGTGCATTAGTTGCTGCTCATCAGCCCTCCCTGCAGTGGATGTAGGAGGGGAGAGCTGGAAGGCAGAGGATGGCTGTCCCACGTTTGTCCCTGAGCAGACCCCATCTGTCCCCTCCACACGATGCTCAGTGGCGCTCACACAGCACTGGTGGGTACCAGTGTGCACCTTGGGGTACTGCCACCCCTACTGCCATGGTTTCTGAGCATCTCCTTGCTGCCTTGATGCACAGCCTGACTTGTGCAAAGCCAAGCTCACACTTTCTTGCTCGTGAGCTCCACAGACCCATTCCTGCACCTCTGCACTCCCTCAGTGTGTGTGCACCCAGACAGACCCATCCATCACTAGAAATACTGAGCCAACCCCCAGCGCTGGAGCTGGGGTTAGGGCACTGCAGCCCTCACCTCTGCACATGGGGTTTCCCATCCATGAGCAATGCACGTTGCCAGCTGTGGGCTCCAACACCTCAAGCACTGCTCTAAGTTCATTGTGGGGATGCTTTTGCAATTTGAAGGGCACGTTTTTGTAGCTGTCACCCTGAAAGCCAGAGCAAGCATGGCTTAGGGTGAGTGCTTGCAAGCAGTGATTACCTCGTGCCCATGCCCAGAAAGCTGTGTCTGTCTGTCTGTCTGTGTTGGGAGCAGAGCAATGACCCAGCAGTGGTCTGTGATGTGGTTGGAGAGGAGCCCTGGAGGGCTGATATTCACCAGCTGAGCTCTAAGGACGAGGGGCTGTGTTTTTGTGTGCACTTGGGGGTGCCCATGGATGGCTTTGTCCCATCCCTGGAGGTGCCCGATATCATGCATGGAACCCCGGGCAGCCTGAGCTGTGGGTAGCAGCCTGCCCATAGCATGGATGATCTTAAGTCCCCCCCAACCCAACCACGCTGTGGTTCACTGATTCCTGAGGACCCTCCCACCGCGCTCAACACACACCTGAACGTCCCAAAGCTGCGGTGTCACAGTGATCCCCATCCACCTCCAGGGCTGAGCAGTCCCCAAAGCAAAGCGAGGGCTGCGCCCGCGCTCCCCCCGCTGCGCTTTGACCCCATCTCTGTGTTTCCTCCTCTCTCCGTGGGCGAGGATCCCCCAGGGCAGGAGGTCTCCGCGCTCCCGTCAGCCACGCCAGCACCCAGCATAGGTACATCGGCTTGTGTTATGGGTGCATGCAGAGGGTGAGGGGCTGCATGCTTTGCTCACCCCGCTCCCACTAACCTGGGGAGGAATTGGTTTGGTTTGAGCTCTCGTTCAAAGCTCTCGAGCTCTACGAGGGCTGGAGGGACCAGGCAGGAGGCGTCCCTGTCCCCAAGTGGAAACCCCAAATGGAAACCCAAGGGAAGGTTCTAATCAGAACCTCCTTTTTATTTTTGGTTAATTAAAATGATAAAAATTGAACCCTGAAGGTCTTTCAGGAGGAAAAATCTGCTTTTTTTTTTTTTTCCATTTCTTCCTCCTTGTTGCCTCCCGTTCCTCTCCAGAGAGGGGGAAGGTGGTTGCTTCAAAAAGGCCCAGGGCAACCAACTCTGCCTACAGCACAAGGTGGGCTGTGGGTATGGAAAATGAACCCAAAGTGAACTTTTTCCCCCTAAAACATTGTCTGAATCAAGAAGCCACCTTCCCCCTCGTCCTGCATGAAGAATAGATAACACTTGGACTGGCTGGGGGTGAGGGCATCACAGTGAGCTTTCGTCCCACCCAGTGCTGTGAGGATACTCCTGGGGGGGGAAGAACGGAGCACTGCAGCACCAGGAGCTCTTGCCAAGCAGGAGATGGAGCTCTCACACCTCCTGTCTGTCTCTCTCCCCACTTCTCTGCCTTCCTGCAGGTGACGGTGTGCTGGGTGGAGGAGGTGCCGGCGAGTAACGAACAGTCCCTGTCTCCCCAGGCCGAGCACGCCGGCATCCGGACGTACTTCTTCAGTGCTGAGAACACAGAGGAGCAGGAATCCTGGATCCAAGCCATGGGCGAAGCTGCCCGGGTGCAGATCCCCCCAACCCAGAGGTCAGAGCGTTGTCCCTGTCGCACAGGGCTGGAGACGCTCCTCTGCCTCTTGGGAATGGGGTGGGGGGGCATGGGAGCAGAATGGAACTGGGGAGCGTCAGCATCCCGCTGAGGCTGTGGGAAGAGGGTTGGGATGTTGACAGCCATCCTGAGGGCGTTATGAAGGAAAGGTAATGCTCTGCTTTCATCTCCTTGCCCTCCAGACACGAGAAGACGGATTCTGAGAACATCCCCCCCAGCAAACACCACCACCACCATCGTAATACCGTGCACCACGAGCACCCCAAAGCTGACCCCAGCGCCAAGACCCGGGGTGAAGGCGACGGCCGTGGCTCAGAGAAACTCGAGAGGAAACCAGAGAGGATGGAGAGCAAGAAGGAACCCTTGGCCAAAGCCAACGGCATCGCCGGGCAAGAGATACCCTCTGAGCCCGGCAGCCCTTACCCCGAAGCACCGCGGGTGCCGACGAGCACAGAGCGGCCGCCCCAACCCAACGGTTGGCCCTACACGTCCCCCAGCCGCCCTGGCAGCACCGCCTACCCCCCACCCGATGGGGAGAGCGCTGCCCATCGCCGCAGCTTCGCCCCCCGCACCAACCCCGAGAAAATGGCGCAGCGCAAGAGCTCCATGACGCAGCTGCAGCAGTGGGTGAACCTGCGCCGGGGCAACGTGCCCCCCGAGGAGCTGCGCAGGTAAGGGCTGAGAGGTCCGGTGGGGGCTCTGGATGTTCTCCTTTTCTCCAGGGTGATGTTCTGGGAATATTTGGCCTTTTCCCACCTATTATATCCCCTTTTGGGTGTCTGCAAATCATGTTGGCTCCAAACTGTAGGATACCCCCAAAAAGCAAGCAGGGTGGGTTTTGGAGGGGATCACCTCGTGCTTCCCCAGGACAACGGACACCAGTCAGCTTTCCCAACGCTGCTTTCTCTAAGGGTGTCCTTGCCTATTGTGACCACTCAGTTCTCACTCCTCCCTTCCAGCCCCACCAGGTTTTACCCCGTGTCTCGCCGGGTGCCTGACTACTACCCTCCCTACTCACCCCAGTACCCTGAGGACTATCAGTACTACCCACCCGGCGTGCGCCCCGACAGCATCTGCTCCATGCCCGCCTACGAGCGGGTCAGCCCTCCCTGGGCATTGGACAACAACAAGCGGCATTCCTTCCGCAACGGGGGCCCCTACCAGCTCCAGGAATGGAAGGAGCACCCCGGCTACGGCCGGCAGGATGTCCCGGTCTGGCTCCCTGGTAGGCAGCCGACTTATTTCGATGAGGTGGATGCTGCCTCGGGGTCGCTGCGGAGGATGTCGCTGCAGCCCCGCTCCCGCTCCGTGCCCCGCTCGCCCAGCCAGGGATCCTACGGCCACACGCGGGTCTACTCCCCGGTGCGCTCTCCCAGCGCTCGCTTAGAGCGGCTGCCGCCCCGTGGAGAGGAGATTTATGTCGACCCCGGCACCTTCATGATGAGGAGATCCATCAGTTCTCCCAAGGTAAGCGCTGGGATGTGCCGGGGTGGAGGGGAACCTGGTTGAGGGCTGTAGGGTGGGGAGGCTGCAGCGCAGCTTGTCCCCTCTGCGTGCATGTGTTGGCCTCGAGGTGCCACCAAGTCCTCGGTGTGCAGCTTTATGTCCTCTCTTAGGACCTCTATGAGCAAGGCAGTCCCAAGTGGGGCGTGCTGATGCTCCTGTATGTCTGCTGCACTGCTAAAAGCCAGCCCTGACCCTGCTGCATGGCTTGGCTGTGCGCAGAGGGGAGCAATCTGCCCCAATTTGCAGCAGTGCAGCGTAGAAAAGAGGGGATACAGGGAGATACCACGTACCCCTCACCTGTCCATGGGGTTTGATGGTGGTCTCCTCTCTCCTCAGTACGACTACCTGGGTGACAGGCGGCCCATCCCTGCAGGAATGTACCCCTACCACTACCCCGCATCCCCCACGGTCCACGACAAGATGGTACGTATGCTGTCAGTGTCAATGGGCTGAGCTGGGGGGCTCACAGCCAGGGGGTTCACAGCCATGTGCTCCTCGCTGCCCTCAGCCCCATGGGATGGGGTGCAGGGTCTGCTGTGAGGCACAGCTCACCCTGCCTTGGATGGATGAGAAGGAAACAGCTGCTCCGCAGGGTTGGAGATGGGTTGCAATGGGGCAAGTTGGGACTGTGGAGCTCGGACTGATGCCTCTGGTCCCTCCTGGCCATGCTTTATGAAAACCCCTGACCCTGTGCTGGGGTTGAAGGTGCACTGAAGCACCCTTGCACCCCTCCTATGCTCTGCAATGCCCATCTTGTCACTGCTCCCCCGGGGCTGGGGTGAGGCTGGAGTGCTCCCTGCACCTCTGCTCTCCTTGTATCTCACTTTGGGCTGCTGCTGCTGCTTGTCCCTGGATCGTGTTTTTTCTCCTGGATCGTTGAGCTGGACCTGCAGGTCCACACAGTGCAGCACAGCCCTGAAACTTCATGTCAGGAGCAGCCACTGCAGGAGGGAGAAGCAAAAAATTTCATCAGCTGTCCATGCTGCCATCCATCCTCACCAGCAAGAGATTTAGGGACAGCGAACAAAGACCCAGCGTAGGGAGAGGGACCTGCACCATCTGCAGCCCTCCTCGCTTTGGGCAGAGGAGGTGGCACTTTGCTTCCCCAGCCAAGGGGTCTTTGCATTTCTGCAGCCTTCACCTAACCGCTTTGCTTCTTCTTTTATATGTTTTGTGTGTTCGTTTCTTGCCGCATGCCTGCTGGCTCCGGGTAGGATGAACTTTTAGACCTTCAGTTGCAAAGAAACCTAGAGTATTTGGACCAGCAGGTAGGCAGAGCTGGCTGCAAGCCTCACGCTGCTTACATCCCCATGTGCCTCATCCCCAGCAGCGTCCCCGTCCTTCCCAGTGCAGCATCTCGTCCCCTAACATCCATCCTCACCCTTCTTGGCACTAAAGCAGCACCTGTCATCTTTGGTTTGCTTCCTCCATCCTCCCCCTCCGTAGGGTTGTTCATTGCTTGGCAGAAAACCACCCCTGACAGTGTCTTCTGTGTGGTGTGCTGGAGCTGAGGGGCAATGGGGGGACATCCCTGGGTCTGGGGGTGCCTACAGCATCAGTGCTGCAGAAATGGTGGCCCAGGGCTGGGCACAGCACATGGCAACTGTAGGCACGGAGGTGCTGGGGGCTTGCCCAGCATCTGCCCTGTGCTGCAGGGGGGAGGAAGACAAGCACTGTGCTTTGGTGATAAGCTCACCGTGCGCATCCTCCAAGGCTAGAGGTGGGACGCAGAGCTGGGATTGGGTGACCGGCCCTAAAGTGACAGCTCTGAAGTTTGGCATGCTGTGGGGTGTTTGGAGGAAAGCCGGGAGCTGACCTCATTCTGGGAGCAGGGTGAGGGAGAGCCTTGGGGACCAGCTGTGGGAGTGGTGGGGTGGGAATTGCCGGCACCAGCTGCCGCCGATGCGGGGTCTGCAGCCATCGGCTGTTGCTGCCGCCTGGTGCTCGTTGCAGGAGCCGGGTTTGCACTGAGGGAGCTGCTCCAGTACAATCTCATTAGTCTGTGAATCCCCATCGGTGCAGCAATCACCGAGATCTGCATCTGCCTTGGAGCAGAGCCAGGGACACGCAGGAGCACTCGGTGCAATAAAAACTCTCTGGATTATTTCAATGCCGTCGGCGGCAACGCTCCCTCACCGAAGCACTTTAAAATGCTCCCTAAAAAGGCTTTCCATCTCCTCCTCCTCTCCTGCTGACCTCTAATTCAGGGCAGTGCTGCCAAGTAGCTCTTTGAAAACAATTCACTGCTTTATTTGCACTCTCCGCGTTTATCCAGAGAGCTGTGATGTGTCACCGGTCGGCTCCCTTGGCTGCACCCCAATTGGTGCTGGTCCCCAGCGGGCTCTGCTCCTGGATCTGTGCTGCGAGGGCATCGTCACCTCTGTCTGCAGCACTCCCATGTAACACATCCCCACGAGAGCACCCAGCTCTGCTGCTTGAAGCCACCAAGCTGAAATGGGGGACACAGCTGTCCCCATCCCCACCTGAGCAGGGCCGTCCCTCTGCTACAAGGGCAGGACACAGAGCTGTTTGTCGGCCTGACCTGTCTGTCTGTCTGCTGGGGCCATGCAGTGTGTTGCAACAGTGGGCATCGTGCAAACTTGTGTCTGTGCGTGCGGTTTGCTGCCCTGGGTTCAATTTGTTTTCATCCCCAACGAAGCTTTCAGCTCCTGGGATGCTCTCAGCCTGGGACAGCTGTCTGCTGGTGGCTCGAGCCCTTGGGACGTCTCTTGGAGGTGGCACCTTGCAGCACAATGCCCTGAGGGTTCCTGGCCAGCACTGCGCCCTCACCTCTCCGCTGACCTCTGACATTTCCTTCCCTGTCTGTCGCAGATGAGCGAGAGCGAAACCCTGATCAGTATGGTGAACAGGATGGTGGAGAGCTCCTCCCCTAGGGCTCAGCTCTACATGCAAGTAAGCCTTGCTAATGCCAGTGCATGGCAGGCCACGCCAGCCGCCCCATGCCATCCCTGAGGTCACCTCCTGCCATTCTGCTCATGCAAACTCCAGCATTCGTGCAGTGCTGGCACACATCACGCTCTGGGGGTCCCGCTCGTCCATCCCAGGCTTTGCTAAATCCATCCATGAGCCATTCCAGCCCTGTAAATCCTTGTGGTCCTGTGAGCGCAAGGTGGGGAAGCAGAGGTCCTGAGCTCTGCATCTGTGTTCGGACGCTTTTGTGTATCAATGTGACCAGAAGGTGGATCTGGAGGAGCCCAGCCAAGGATCTGCAACCAAAGAAACATCAGAGAGAAGAAGCAGCCCGTGCACATCCCATCTCCTGGAGATGGGAGAGACTGCAAATGCCTGGGGACATCTGTGCTGATGGGTGCAGCACAGAGTGCTGATGCCCCATGAGGAGGGGAGGGTGTGTGGTCCCATCCCTGAGCAGCAGGGCTGTGCCTCAGGGTGAAGCTGGAGCTGTTGTGATGCCTTGGTTGCTCTGTGTAGAATCTGCATCCACCAGGCTCTGGCATTTCCCAGGTTCGGGTCTGTTAAGCATTGTCCTGTGGTTTTAAATCACTCTGAAGTAGCATCTAGCTTTCTAGCAATAATGATCTCCTTCTTCCTATCTTATGCCTTTCATCTCGAGGTCTTGGAGGCATTTAATTGGTGAGGTCCCATTAGTAATTTAGATTTCCAGGAAAGGCAAATGACTCACAGAGAAGCTGGATGGTAAACAGGTCCTGATGCAGCAGCTGATTTATGGGCGCTCTGACTCCACTCAGTGGGATTACAGCTTAATCTTGCTGCCTTCATTTCCCTGCCCGTGGAACAGTGGCAGGGAACAGTTGTATGGCAGGCAGTTAATGAGTCACGAGACACCTCTTGGCGTCAGGCAGAGAGCTTGGCTCGGTGCTGCTCACCCAGCCCATGGCACTGGGGCTGGCACTGGGGCTTCCCAGGGCTGGGGCAGAGGGGCTGCTCCTCCCTGCAGGGTTCCTGGCAGCCCCTGAGACCCCGGAGCTGAGCTGACCCCGTGCTCTGCTTGCAGGTGACGACGCCTTTCCCAGAAGCCTACAGGGAGACCCTGCATGCCTACAAGATAAGCGAGCAAGACACTGATGTAAGAGCAAATGTCTGTGCTGCGTGTTCTCAGTCTGTCCCGTGCAATTGCCTCTGTCCCTGTGTGTCCTGTTTCCTGTGGGCTGAAACCCACACGTTGTCCCATCCAACCAATGCCATGTTCTGTGGCCTGGCTGCATCCTATTTCTCCTAGAGAGAAATCAGCCCACTCTTGTCCCTCCTCTTGGCCCTGATTGAGCACAGATCTGTTTGCACAGGTGCCTGGAGCATCCCACACCCCATTTCTGGGTTCTCACCCTTCCCTTTCTCTTTTTCTTGCCGGGAACAGAAGCTGCTGGGGAAGCTCTGTGAGCAGAACAAAGTGCTGCGGGAGCAGGAGAGGCTGGTGCAGCAGCTCCGAGCAGAGAAGGTTCGTGGTGCGCATGGTTCTGCATGATGCTGCTGCAACACTGAGTGCCCCAGGGCTGAGTGCATTTGGGGTTAAACCCCACTGCAAGGCAATGGGGATGGCAAGGAAGTGGCGTGTCCTGCTTTCCTGGCGTTCATCTGTGGGCTGGGGGAGATGTTGTGCTCATGTCATGGTCCCATGCATTCATGGCCCATTAAGAAGGGAGAAAGCTATATCCTGCACCAGGATGCTCACAGCTGCAGCACCTCTTGTTCTCCTCAGGAGAGTCTGGAGAGTGCCCTGATGGGGACACACCAGGAGCTGGAGATGTTTGGGAGCCAGCCTGCCTACCCTGAGAAGCTGCTGCACAAGAAGGAGTCTCTGCAGAACCAGCTCATCAACATCCGCGTGGAGCTGTCACAGGCCAGCACGGTAATGGTGCTGCTCTGCATTCCCTATCCCCACCCATCCATCCCTAATGCATGGAGCAGCCAGCAGAGCTTGCACTGGGGGGCAAATCCACCAACCCAATCCCCTTAACTCCTTCCACAGGCCTTGGCCAACAGCACAGCTGAGTATGAGACCCTGGAGAGCGAGGTGTCCGCCCTGCACGATGACCTCTGGGAGCAGCTGAACCTGGATATCCAAGTGAGCATCCCACCTTGTCCCCAGTCCCATGCAGGTGGAAGCCACCTGGTTCCTCTGCTGAGAGCTAATTTGCAAGCAGCTGCTGGTGCTCAGCATCCTGCTTTGACCTTGCCTAGCAGCACGCAGGTGCTGATGAGGGTGTTTTGCCTTGGGTGCTGATGAGGGGCTGCACGGGGGCCGGGGGGGCCTCCACCAGCTCCACCCCAGCCTGCAGCTCCCTGTGGGATTTGAGCTGTGGGTGTGATGGCTCAGCCCCCCCTAGGGCTGTGTCTGTCCCAGCTGAACACCCCAGGCCCCATCACTGGGATGCAGCCAGGATGGGAGGCGCAGGGCTGGGTGTTGGGCTGGCGGCAGCGGGGGCTGCTCTGACCGCTGCCTTTCTCCCCCTTCACAGAATGAAATGCTGAACCGACAGATCCAGAAGGAGATTTGGCGGATCCAGGATGTGATGGAGGGGCTGAGGAAGAACAACCCATCCCGCGGCACCGACACTGCTAAGCACAGAGGTGAGATGGCTCCGTCCCAGCATGGCACAAAGCCCGGCATGACACATTCCTGGTGACAGCACTTTTGAAGGCACTGTGCCATGGTGCATGCACTTATTTCTGCTTTTCTCTGCAGTGGCCATCGGCCCCTCGGGCACCTACAGCTCCAACAGCCCTGCCAGTCCACTGAGCTCCGCCAGCCTCACCAGCCCCCTCAGCCCCTTCTCCCTCATCTCTGGCTCCCAGGGCTCGCCCACCAAGCCAGGTCCCAGCGAGGTGAGTGAGCCAGGATGTGCTTGGGGAGCCCTTTGTCTCCATCAGGTCCTTCCTTGTCACTTTGCTCATGGGTTGGCCCAGCCTCCTTGCTCTCAGGTGATGGATGGGCACATGGGAGGCTGCGGGGTCTGAGTCTGTGTTCCTCACAAGGTATTGCAATCTCTGGGGTCCTACACCAAGACTTGCTCAGCTCTTTTTGCTCAAGGTCCGGCAGTGCTGAGCTCACCCACATCCTTGTGAAGTTGAGGGTGGAATGTGGGGACTCCCCACAGCTGTGCCAAGCAACGCTGATTGTCTCCTGGAGGCTGACAGCTCCAAGCCCTGCCTGTCCCTACTGGGAGGTGGGAAACATCCCCCTGTGCATGAGGAAACCCAGCAGGCAGCAACCGCTGCGCTTCCTCCTCCTGCCCTGGCCTTTCACTGTGTTTTGTCTCGGTCTCTTTCTAACTCTCTTTTCCTTCCCATCTCTTAGTTTCTCTGCTCTCACGCCTCAATGCTCCTCTCCACCCCAGGAACCCGGCCCGCCTCGACCTCCCCTCCCCAAGTCGTACATCCCCCTGGAGCCTCCTCCGACCGTACCTCCACTCCCTAGCGAGAGCCGCCCCTGGCCGTACCCCACCTCCCCTTCCTGGCAGCGAGGCGGCGAGTCGCAGAGGGGACAGGTACCAGAACCTCTCCAAGGCAGCCCCAAAAAGCGTCCCTTCCCTCCATCCCTCCCTTCCTCCCTCCTCAGAGGCTGGTACCAGAGGATGGGGCTGCCCACAAAGGTGATGCTCGGGCGACAGCAGCACGTGGCACTGCCTTTCCAAGGGGCACAGTGGGCAGGGTCCCCATGGTGGCTTCGCCATGTCCTCTCCAAGTCCCCGGTGCTGGTGCACATGCTCAGGACAGGGACAGGCTTCTCCTGGGCAGCTGGACGAGATGCAAATCTGCTGCAGCCTCTCTACTTTCCTCTGCCCTGTCCTCTCTTGCTGTCCTTTCACTCCCCGCTGTGCCAGGAGCTCGGCTGGCCTGGGGTGACCACATGAGTACGCTAAGGATCTCTGGTGACATCTCAGCCTGGGAATGAGACCATGTTTGTACTCTGGAAGACAGAAGTATTCCTGCAACTTGGTGGTCCTGAGAGGGGCTCAGGATGCATGCATGTGGGGCTGTGAAAACAAGGAATATTTGCTTGTGCAAGGAGCACCTCCAGCGTCCATGCAACCACAGAGTAACCACAGTCATGGTTGTGTTGTCTGTGTGGTGTAAAGGGTTGTTGGAGTACATCATCTCCATGCAGAGTACAGGACAGCAGTGTGGGGTCACACTGCATTCTTCAGCCTCTCCCTGACCCCCTCCATCATGCTGGATCTGTTGCACTGTTACCAGGCAGGATTCTGAAAGCAGACTTGGCTTGCTCCCTGCTGCTGTCTGCTGTCCTACAGAGCCCCGTTCCCTCCTGCACACAGGGGCTGGAGCTCAGCATTGGGCACCTCCATCCTTCAGCTCTTGGGTACCACCTCTGAGCCGTGTCAGGACTGTCCCCCTGTAGACAGCTTGTCCCACACAGAACTGCATCACCAGTACAGCATTGAGTGTCTGGCCCCAATGGGTTTGGGCGAGAGCTGCAGAGCCCTCATAGCCCATGTCCCCATTGGTGGAGCTCATTTGGGGAGCACAGAGAATGCCTAGACAAGTGTCTGTCTGTCCACCTGCTCCTGAGGCTGTGTGCCAACCCATGGCAGCATGCTGTGCCCAGGCAGTTTGTGTGGCCACCCAGCAGAGCAGAGCTTCATCCCATACTCACTTTCTCCCCACAGCCCAAACCAAGCTTGGAGCAAAGCAAGAAGGAGACGCAGCGAGCGGCTGCTCCCAGCTCCACTGCTGAGGGGCTGCTGAGCCGGCAGGAGCAGGAGGCAGAAAAACAAGCTGCCCTCAACAAAGGTAGGTGCCACCCAGAGGGTCCCCTCCAACAGACTCACTGAGCTGCCCTGGCCGCGGGAAGCATTTGTACCACACGTTGCAGCTCTCTATCAGCTCTGTGCATGACCAGGACTCTGCTCTGCATCCCCAGAGGGGCTCAGCTCCGTGTTTTGCTTTGTCCTGCAGTGGGCATTGTGCCGCCCCGAACCAAATCCCCGACGGAGGAGGAGGTGGTGCCCACAACAGGGATGCTGAGGAGGAGTGCCAGCGGCATGGCCAACGGGCTGGGCTCCCGGGTAGGGGCTGCTGAAGGGGGCTGGGCAGGGTGGGCAGTGCCAGGGGCTGGGCTGGCAGCTGGGGGCTCAGCAGCACCGTCTGGAGAGGAGGGAGGACTCGTCGCTGTGTTTCAGCACCTGGCTGGGAGACACCCAACAGTTTGCGTGTCCCAGGAGCAGGCTGAGCACGGCAGCCCTCTACAGGGTGATGCAGCACAGCTGGATGGGGCTGGATTCTGTTCCATTTGGGAAGGGTGTGACAATGGGGCTGGGCTCCCCCCAGGAGAGGCCGAAGAGCGCCGTGTTTGCCAATGAGACAAAGGTGAAGATGAGCGTGGAGGAGCAGATTGACCGCATGAAACGCCACCAGAGCGGCTCCATGAAGGAGAAGCGGCGCAGCCTGCAGCTGCCTGGCAGCCAGCAGCCAGACACCCCTGGCACGAAGGCACCCACGTCCTACAAAGTGGTGAGTCCCTGCACCCACTGGGTGCAAAGCAGGATTGGCTTTGTGGGCTGGGCTGAGGTCCCTGAAGGAGCAGAAGGGGCACTGTTTGCCGGGTATGGGGGCTCAGCAAGGCTGTGGTTCCCCCAGGTGCGCCGGCACCGCAGCATCCATGAGGTGGACATCTCTGACCTGGAGGCAGCGCTGCGGTCTGATGAACCTGGCAAGGTGCACGAGACACCCCGAGAGGAGATCGCCCGGCTGCGCAAAATGGAGCTGGAGCCACAGCACTACGATGTGGACATCAACAAGGAGGTGAGGACAGGAGATCCGTGGAGATGTGGGCACGGGGCATCCCCTCTGCTGGAGGATCAATCCAGCCTCTGCATTGTGTGGGGTCCTGGTGCTGGAGTGAGTGCTGCTTCCATGCTTGTGTCTGGTGTACTGAGAGCTGGGGGTGGTTGTGTGGGGACTGTGTGTGCTGGGGAGGGGATGAGGCCCTGCTGAGCAGTGCTCAGCTCAGCCTTGCACCCAGCTATCCACACCGGACAAAGTCCTCATCCCTGAGAGGTACATTGAACTGGAGCCTGACACGCCACTCAGCCCCGAAGAAATGAAGGAGAAGCAAAAGAAGGTGGAAAGGATAAAAACCCTCATTGCCAAATCCAGGTGAGGTGCAACGCCCACAGTGTGCGCCCCATCCCCAGCATCTGGGTGCATCCCCCTGAGCCAGCAGTGTCCCTGCAGCCTGCAGAACGTCATCCCCCTGGGTGAGGGTGAAGTGGATGCTCCCCAGGACCCCGAAACACAGCTGCAGGAGCAGGAGAAGAGGATAGAGATCTCATGTGCTCTGGCTGCTGAGGCATCCCGCCGGGGCCGCATGCTGTCGGGTAAGGCACGGAGGGTCTGGGGTGCACACCCACTGCCTGCCAGCCCTGCAGGAGAGGGACTGCAGGTACCAGATGGACAGAAAGAACTGTTGCAGTGTGGAACAAGCAGATTCAGTGAGCGGGTGATGGCAGCAAAGAAACAGGGGCTGTGCACACAGAGAGCATCCTGCATTGCTGTAATGCAGCACCGTGCAGCAGCCAAGCCAGGTGATGCTTGCAGCTGCCAGGGCAGCAGCACCGAGCATTGCAGAAGGGAGTGCTCACCATCAAAAGCTGCCTACCCCACACCCAAGGGAAGGAACCCAACGTGAAGTGCTCAGGGATGGGGAAGCACTGCCCATGCCCAGTGGTGGCACACAGTGCCCACAGCCTTGTCCAGGAGGAGCCCAGGGGGAGCTCACGTGTGCGTGCTGCAGCCGGGCAGTGGCTGCTCGCCCTGCTTCCTCCCTTCCTTCCTCTTGGTTTCCTCCCCTCGCTAACCTGCCCGCTGTGCTGCCTCCTCCCCTCTTGCTGCCCTCAGCTTGTGTTCTTCATTCCCTTCTCCCATTTCTTGTTTCCAGCTCAATGCGCTACCCCAAGCCCTCCCACCTCCCCAGCTTCCCCGACTCCACCGACCAACCCCCTCTCGTCTGAACCATCCCGGGTCGCCGACTGCAGCCATTTTATGCGTGTCTGAGCCATGAAGTAAGCACCTTTTCTCTTGTACTTCATCCCATCTTCTCCACCCAGGGATGGGCGGGGGGTGCCACTCCCCCCGGTGTCTTTTCCACCCGGCCTCCATCCATCACTGCTTGCTCCAGCTAACACCTCCGAGCCACGTCAGCCCCGTCTCCTCCTATGGAACAAGTGCAGTGTTCTCTGTGGTGTGGGACCCAACCAGGGACCCCGGTGTGGGCATGGGGCTGAGCTGGCTGCTGCCCCCCAGGAGGTGTTGTTCCCCAGGAGGTGATGGGCGTGGGTTTGAATCTGTGGGGTTTTACTCCAGGCTGCTCAGGGGGCGTCTGTAGGGATCACAGCACTCAGCTCTGCTCCTCTCCCTCCAGCTCAAGCCCTGGCAGCCGCTGGTGCCATCAAGTCTCATGGGGCCACGTTCTAGTGCAGCACTACATGCGCCATGGCTCGACACTGACCCTCTCTGCGCCATCGTTTTTGGTTCTCCTGGACCCCTTCCCTCCTTCCCATCGATGGCATCACCATTGGGGTGGATGAGAGGGGAAGATGCAGCTCCAACGCTCTGCCCCATCCTGGAGGAGCTGTGCAGATGCCATAAGCGCCGTCCCCAAGGACTGGGGACACTGAGCTTCCACCCAGCACTGGGACACAGCTGCGTTGTCCTGGGTGCATGGAGGGACATGTGCAGCTCTGGAGGAGTGCAGCACCCTTCAGCTCTCTGTGCATTGGTCACACAAAGGGGGCCGTCTCCACTATGGATGGTGCATTCTCCACGTGCATCTGTGCTCCTGGCTGTGCCCTGAAAGCTTTCAGCACCTTGCTGGAGGGAGGTGCCAGCCTCATCGTGGCTGCAAGTGGGAACAGGGCGCACGGAGAGGGGACACAATGGGACACAGGTGTCCCGGGGGCCGGGATGGTGAGGGCTGCCCAGCACAGAGCCGTGGGCATGGAGCAGCAGGTGCAGGCAGGGACAGGGGATGTGGGGAAGGAGCAGAGGAACGGAGCGGAGCCGATGGGCCAAGCAGCAATCTGCAGGATGGATGAGGATGGTGACAAGGAAGGGACCGGGTCGGAGCCGTGAATGCTTCCAGGTGGTAGCAACGCTTTGCTCATGGTCACCTCTGTCACAGCCCAGGTGGCCCAGCAGGAATTCCGTGACACATGCAGCACTCCCTGGGCAGCCTTCTGTGCTGGAGGAGGGATTCCTTCTCCCGCAGCACCGGGGATGGATGTGGGGACAAGGAGGGGGCACCTCAGCTGCGCAGCATGGACTGGATCCCTCTGGTCTCACCGCACGCCATTGCACTCCAACCACGTCAGCTTGGTCATTTCTCCTACTGCCTATCCTTGATTTCATTTTATTTTCGCTTTCCAAACGGAGGGAAAAACGCTGTTTCTGCCTGAAAACACAGCGCAGTGTGTGGGGGGGTGGGGGGCAGAGGTGGGGGTTGGGCAGTGTCCCTATGGCTGGATCCTGATGTGTGCCCCCTCTGCATCCCCAACCCCCCTCCCCGCTCTTAGCAATACTCATAGGATCCCAGGAACCCCAGTCCCCCTCTCCTCCTGCAGCCCCCTTAGCTCATAAAGCTGGCCCTTTATTTTGCTATTACATGCCTTAATATATGTTTTATGGAGAGTTATACATTTATTATATACGTATATATATATATATATATATATAGACGGGGTTTGTTTTTTTTTCTCTTCTTTTCTGGGAGGTAGTTTTGTGCTGATCTCTGCAGGGTTGTCAGCACAACGAGAGCCAGTTTATCAGAAAATTTAAAATTAAAAAAAAAATAATAAAAATTAAAATGAAAAAAAAAGCCAATATATATATATATACACATATATTTTTTTCTGCTTTTATGAAAAGCAAATTTATTTAAAAATAAAATATATATATATATATGTGTGTAAAGAGAGCGTAAGGTGGAAGAGGTGACGCCTTTATTTCCCCAGCTGGGGGGTGTGCAGGGCAGAGCCCTTTGTGCAGGGGGGGTTGGCTGGGGGGCACTGGGCCTCTCCCATGGCTGTAGGAGATGGGAACCTCTGTGTCCTCATCCCACAGCTGCAGTGCAATGGAAAGGGGTCATTTGGGGCTTTTTTTTTCCTTTCTTTTTTTTTTCTTCTTTTTTTTTTTTTTAAGAAAACAGCAATGGCGACAACAACAACAAAAAAAAAAGGGCAAAAAACAAAAAATAGTTTGGATGCTGAGGTTTTTGATTTCGGTTCTTGTTTTTCGTACCGCTTTCATGCAGCAGCGACTCGTTAACAGAGAGAAGAGTTGGCATTGGGAGGAAACCTATTTATGCACTGGGTGTGGGGGGGATTGGGGAGGGGGGGATGTTTTGTTTTCTGGATTTTGGGGGGTTTTGTTGTTTTTGGGTTGGTTTTTTTTTTTTGGCTAGCGTTAGAGAAATAAAAGTATCTCCGAAACAGCGCCATGTCGGTGTCGTTTGTGCAGAGGTAATGATTGCAGTGTTGGATTGAAGAGGTGTGGGACAGACGGCCCTGTGCAGCAACGATGCTCAGCCCACGTGTGCTCTCCTCTCATCCTTTCTTAGGGTTCTTTTTCCCACTGATGTCTCTTTTCCCAGCTGGGAATTATTTTGAATGCAGCTGCGTCGGAGCAAAAGAAATCACACTGATACCAAACAGGCCAAAAAACCTCCATGGATTAAAGCATCCCCTTTGCAAACTGTGGGGTGAGCCTGGGGTTGCATGTGCCCCATAGGGAGATCCCCCCCCCCCGAGCAGCTGCGGGGCCGTTAATGATTTGCAGGATGACGTGGGGACTAAAGGGCTTTCCAAGGGTCACTGCTGGGAAGCGCCCGACACGAGGAGCAGTGGGGCAAAATGGTGACTCTGAGCGACTTCCAAAGTGAGTTGGGCACCAGGGTGGGATGCTCGTGGGGGGTGCTGGGGGTGCTGACCCCACAGTTGGGCTGGGGGCACTGGGGAAGAGAGAGGGGGTGATGGCAAACTGCATGGTGCTGGGGTCACGGGTTGGATGTGATTCACAGGGGGATTGGCACAGTGGGGTGGGGGCTGTGTATGGAAGGCAAGCAGGGATGTGCCCGGCCCCTTGCCCCCACCAGAACCTCTGTTCTACCCTTCGTGCAACCACCTGGGGTCGTGTGGAGGGTGACCTTCCTGGTTAGTTTACCCTGTGATTGATTCTACACCTCGCAGCCACCCTGAATTCATAGGGTTTACAGCCTCCCCAGGACTTCAGCGGGGGGGAGAGAAATCACAGGGACATTTCTGGGAGGGAACGGGACGGGGTGGCCCTGAGCAAAGCGAGCGCTGCTTGGGTGGGAGCAGAGCAGTGCATCCAAACCCTCATTTCAGCCCATCCTCCATAGGGGTTGGTGTGGGGCTGGTTGGCTTCGGCATCTTCTTCATCCTCTTTGGGATGCTCCTATACTTCGACTCGGTGCTGCTGGCCTTTGGGAACGTGAGTATGGCATGGGAAGGGGAGGGGGGAGATCTCTGGAGCAAAGTGGCCATAGGGCAGGGCTGCTCTCACCCCTCCTTGCTGCCTCCTCCCAGATCCTCTTTCTCTCCGGTTTGGTCTTCATCATCGGCTTCAGGAGGACCTTCACCTTCTTCTTCCAAAGGCAAAAGATGAAGGGCAGCAGCTTCTTCCTTGGGGGGGTCCTCATCGTCCTCATGCGGTGGCCGCTCCTGGGGATGCTGCTGGAAGCTTATGGCTTCATCACACTCTTCAGGTCTGCGTGGACCCACACAAAACCAATCCATGCCACCAGCATCTACCGTGGCAGGCTTAACAGAGCCTTTTGTTTCGGTGCAGGAGTTTTTTCCCCGTGGCTTTTGGCTTTTTGGGCTCGCTGGTGAATATCCCTGTTCTGAACAAGGTGAGCAGGGCGCTGGGCAAGGCTCTCTGGGTGTGGACTTTTGGGGATGCAGTCTTTGGGGGACAGAAATTGCTGGCATTGCTGCATTAAAGCAGCACTGTGGGCATGTGGGAGAAGGTCAGCACGGTCTCCCTGCTGCTCCTGGAGTATTGTGCTGCTAATCAGGAATGGTTCATCTTACAGCTCTTGGAGAAACTGGGTGACAGCAGCTCCATAGTGTGACCACAGGATGGATAATGTCACAGGTGGGACAGCACGAGTGGCCCTTCAGTCCTGCTGGGGGTTGGAGATGGTTGTGCTGCAGGGATGGTGCCTCGCAGGCTGTGCCAGGCAGGCTTTGTAATTATTGTTATTATTATTATTATTATTGGTGTTGTTGTCTTTCCCTCATGAGAGCTGGATTTCATTTTAAAAAGTGTGTCTGAGACTGTACTGAGGCTTTTTTTCTGGGGTTTGGAGCCTACTTTTGGAGCATCGTGGCCATGGCTGGAGGTGACATGGAGACCTTCCCATGGCTGTGACTGGAGGTGACACAGGGACAACCCCAGTGGCTGCAGCTGCCTTCCCACGCACCCAGCAGGACCATGGGCCATGGCAAGCAGAGCCCAGGGAGCAGAGGGAGAGGACAGGAGAGGTTAGGAAAACACCCATTAAACCACAATAACATTTAATGACCTGATCGGAGGAGAGTAAATTACCCCTTTAAAATCCAGTCACCAAGAAAAAGCAAATGACATCCAGGGATATGAATTAACTGAGATATTGGGGTGGGGGGGAGAAGGGGGGCAAAGCACTTGTAGGGCAGCACACGGACACAGGGCTGCTATCTGAGCACTCACGTTTCCCACAGCCCCATTTCCCATGGGATGCACCCAGCTGGGAGCAGGGCTGGGCGCACTGATGGCAGCACAGCGGGGCTGGTGTGGGGCCAGGAACTGCTCTGCTAGGGTGCAGAACAGCCTCTCTCCAGGAGAGAACAGGTTGGGTAACCCCACAGCTCTGCAATCAGAGGAACGAGCTCAATGGATACGAGCTGGGATTCTATGAGCACTTGGGAAGCCGGGTGCAAGCAATGAGTTTAATTAAACCAGGGCAATCACATCAAAGCTGGTCCCTGCGCAGATACCTTTCTTAAACGGCAGGAATTAATTAATGAGTTTGAGTTAAACATGTTCCCTCCTTATTGGAGTGCAGCCTGAGCGTATTGGAGGTGCTGGCAGATTTGGGAACAGTTTGGCTGCTGTGGAGCAGTGACTCCTCTGCCACACCTGGGGTCTCAGAGCTCTCAGGAGGAATAAAGCGTGGCAGCCCCCTGAGGTTGGGGTTCTTCTGCTGTGTGTGGGGCTGTGCTTATGGGATGCTGCTGTCTGGAGGGGGGTGTCTGTAGATCTCCTCCCCTTTGAAGCTTCCTCTGTGGTTTCCTGGTGCCTTGGAGGATGGCAGAAGTGGGGCTGGTCCTGCTTTAAGTCCAGCTGTAGTGGTGAAGCACTGAGGATTGGAGCTGCTTGGTGAGCCCAGCTGGGCCGGGCCACAGTACAGGTGGGACCCACAGCTCCCCTGGTGTGTGGCTGTGTCTGCTTGCAGGTAAAAAGCCTCATTTGGGCTATAAAGCAGCTTCTTATGGCCAAGCTGCACCTTTGGGATGTTCATGAAAAACTTGCCTGTGTTTTCCCCTCCAACTCAATAGGATGCTGTCTCAATGCGTTCTGCAGCAGTGCTGATGTTAAGAAATCATTTCAGGTGAAGCCCTGACACTGCTGAAGTCAATGGCCCAGTTCCCTCAGTGCTGGTGTAACCGAGACCCTCTGTAGTCCTTCCCAAAAGCTGCTTTGGTGCTCGAGCTTTTCAGCCGTGCCTTGCAGGGAAGCTTTTGTTTCCCTTTGGAAAGCATTTTCCTTCACTTTTAGCTTAGTGATTTGGTTCCTTGAAAGCAGGCAGGAAGCCATTGAGAAATGTTCCCCTTTTATTTCCAGATAAGTTTAATTTTCATCTCTGTAGGATGAGGAACTGTATGGAGCACCTGCAGCTGGTGTCCATCAGAGCAGCAAGCGAATCAAATGGGGGGAATTTCAGCTCTGCCTGACATCCTCCCATCCTGAGCCTGCAATATCAGGTTGGGTTGATGCGAGGAGCAAAGCTCCTCTGTGCTTTAAGGCTGCATGGGAAGGGCTCAGCATGGCCCCTGCAGCTCTGCTCTCCCAGGGGGTGAGGAATAACTTCAGTAAAGCAGCTGATGTCCCTGGGGCTGTTCCCCCTGTGCTGCCCTCCAGTAAGTTAAGCAGTGCTCCTTTCCCTGCAGCTCTGTGCACAAATGCACCCTTTGCTGGTTAGCTGAAGCCCTGTGCCAGGTCTTTCTCTCGCTGCTCCCGTGCATCAGCTGCTTTTCCTACTGGGGGTGGAAAATGCCTCGTGGGGTTTTTCCTTGTGTGGAGGGAGGAGCATCCTTGGGGTCCTGTGGATGTTCTCCTGGTTACAGCAGAGATGGAAACCTCGGAGCCCCATGGCCCCATGCCCTGAGATCACCTTCGTCTGGCTGATGTGGCCCCTTTAGAAGTGACGCTGTACCCCAAAGTCCCTCCTCTGGGGACTTATGAGCACTTAGGATGCCCGGAAAGGGGATTTATTCCTTGTGGCTCCTTGCCAGGGGCCGGGCTGCTGCCTCCTGACCCCGTAAGGCTGCCCCTGGTGACGCAGCCCCAGGGCCTGGCATGGGAAAAGACGTCAAGGCTGGGAGAAATGGGGCCATGGCAGATGAGGTGCCGCCGGGTTCAGCCCTCCCCTGGTTCCGAACGCTGCAACCCAAAGCCCTGAGGAGTTCGGGGTGGAGGAGGCTGTGAAGCCCCAGGTTTGGAGGTGAGGTGGTGGGGGGGACCCTCCTTGTGCCCCCCAGCTTCTGTGTCCCCAGGTGAAGGTGCCAGCAGTGCCCTGAGCAAATCCTGGCAGCAGTGGGAGCACACCGGTGTGTTTGTGTAGCTGTGGGCTTCAAGGAAGGGGCAAGTGTGTCATCAGGTTTCTTCTGAGAACATTTTTATTGCTGCTGCAGTCATTTCCCACCGAGGTTCCCTGGGTCCTGAGGTCAAGTGCTGGGCTTGGAGCCACGGGGCTCAATCCAGCAGCCATCCTCCATGCACCAGGGCTGGGTGCTGAGGAGGGAACTGCAGCAACAAGAGCTGGGAGCCAGCAGCACAACTTGTGTGAACAAATCCTTTGCTGCTGCAGTTCTTGAGCAGTTCAGCTTGCTGTCTGCATCACCTGTGCGTCCCCACCGTGTGCTGCTTGGGCACCATGAGCTGTGCTCCTGCACACTGCAGTGATCACATTGTGCCTGGCCAGGCTGTAGCTGCTTATACAACTGCAACGAGCTCAGCTGTTCTGTGCACAAGTCTCTGCTCCCTCACTGGGGTGAGAAAACGAGGGGGAGACTTTTCCTTATGCTCAGAGCAGCCCCTATGAGGACAGCAGCATTTGGTAGGTTTATGGCCAAGGAGCTGCGTTTGCCATTTCCACCCTCAATCCTAGAGGAAATCCCCATTCCTCTATTCCCCTCTTTCTCTGCTCCTGAGCAGCACAGCTCGACCAGACCTGAGCCACCGCCCCGTGTGTCCCCACCACTGTCCATCTCTCCTCCCTGGTGGCAGCAGGCATTTGGCCCATGCCCTACATGCAGTGTGCTGTTAGTGCTCAGAGCTGACACAGCAATGCCATCAACTGCAGAGAATGAAGTTTATCAGCTCCCAGCTATCCACAGCTGCCCTTGTTAACCCTGATAATTGGCTGTGCCCACCTACAATCATGCTGCCCTCAGCCAACTGGGAGGAGAAACCCACAGGGAGGCAGAAAGCCAGCCTATAAAACATCCTCTCCTTGGGGATGTGGAGAAGTCTCTGGTGAAGGAGGAAGCTGCGCTGGGAGCACGAGATGCTGGCAGGAGGCAGCAGGAGGCTGCAGCAGTGTCTGCTCGTCGTGGCCATTGCATGGAGTGCCGGCTTCTTCCACTCACCAGCCCTGGCTTTGCAGAGGTAGAGTTGTTGCTAAGGGAGCACCATGTGCTGGGTTTTGCCATCTCCTTGTTTGCTTGTTTTTTTGGTGTTGAGGGCCACAGAGCTCTCTTCTCTGCTCCTCCAGGCTGCTGAGAAACACCTTCCCTTCTCCTCCTCCTCCTCTATCTGGCACTGGGCACACCTCACCCTCCTTGCTTCTCTTCCCCTCTCCCTCTGAGCGCTGCATGGCACAGCAGCACCTCTCCTTCCATTCCAACCTCCGAGCCAGCACGACTCCTTCCACTTGCAAAACCAACGAACTGAGCTTCAGCACATCACAAACCCCCCGTTGTGTGCGGGGCACCCCTACAGCACCGTGTCCCATCCCGGTATCCGCGCATCCCTCCGCTGGGCCGGGACCCGGCGGGCAGCTGCTGCCACCTAGAGCTCGGATCTTCCAGGGCAGGGAGATGCTGCCTCTTGGGGGTGTCCCACAGCCCCCTCCCCTGCCCGCAGGATCGCTCTGCGGAGGATGCCTTCCATCCGGCAGACGCTGCAGGAGATGGGCGTGAAGGTGGCCGACGTGTTTCCCGAGCTGCGGCAAAGGCGAGGCGGGGCGGGCGGCCCCCAAAACGGAACGGCTCCCACCCTCCTCACCAACTACCTGGATGTGAGCCCCTCCCCCACGCACGGAATGTTTGTTGCCCCTCCATCTTCCCCACCTCACGGGTTCTATCAGCCGCAGGAGGACCCAGTCCGAGTCATTCTGCCGGCGCTGTGCTTCTTCCAGACGCAGTATTACGGTGAGATCAGCATCGGCACCCCCCCGCAGACCTTCAAGGTGGTCTTTGACACGGGCTCAGCCAACCTGTGGGTGCCGTCCTGCAAGTGCTCCCCACTCTACAGTGCCTGCAGTGAGTGCTGGGGGTGGGGAGGGGACACTCTCCATCCTCACCCTTTGATTTTCCAGTGGATGTGGGCAAATCCCTTCATCTCAAGGGATGCACTGAGCTCTAGCTGGCCCTGCTGCCCCCTTCCTTGCTGTTTCTGATGCCTTCCTGCCTCTCCCCAGTTTCCCACAGCCGCTATGACTCCTCCAAGTCACGGACATACATAGCCAATGGTACAGGCTTCTCCATCCGCTACGGGACAGGCAGTGTCAAAGGCTTCCTCAGCCAGGATGTGGTCATGGTGAGAGCACACCCTGAATTTTGGAGCAGTTGGCTCTGCTCCTCTTATGAGCACAACCATTTACCTGAAAGTATGGGAGCTCTGCTGGGTTTTACCCCACAGTCTCCCAATGCAGAGACCCTTGTGCCCTCCCCAGGTATCGGACATCCCCATCATCCAGGTCTTCGCTGAGGCCACCGTGCTGCCTGCGTTCCCCTTCATCTTTGCCAGGTTTGATGGGGTCCTGGGCATGGGTTACCCCAGCCAGGCCATCGATGGCATCACCCCTGTCTTCGACCGGATCCTCTCCCAGCAGATCCTCAAGGAGGACGTGTTCTCTGTCTACTACAACCGGTGGGTTTCAAGGTGGGGAGGGGGTTGCTTTGCAGGGCTGGGCATTGCAGCCTCAGCGTGCTGGGGATGCAGCTTGGGACTGTGAAGAAGCTACGGCTGGGGCTGTAAGACCCAGGCTGAGTGGAATTTGCCTGCAGGAGATGGGCTGGAATGAGGCAGCACAGGAGGCAGATGCACGCCTAAGTAGAGTCCGTAGCTCTTTATCCCATCTCAAGATGGATTCTTTAATAATGAATGAGTCCCAAGGATGCTAGCTGCCATTGCAGCCTGGTCGGGTTGCTGTTTCAGTGCCCTTGGCACTCTGGGATGCAGCCACCCACAGACCACAGGCTCACAGAACATTTCTCTCTTTGCAGAGCATCAAAGTAAGAAGATGAAAAGCGTGAGCTCTCTGGAGGCAGCACCCACTGCCAGCACCACAGACCCCAGTGCTGGCTCCTATGAGCTCCAGCCCTGGGCTCTGCCCTCACCTGTCCTCAGCACCAACCTGCCCCAATCCTCACCCCTGTGGTCTCACATCTCCCTCACTAAACCAGGATGGCTCCTGCTTTGCCACTGCTCACCAGGCTGCCAGCACTGCATGCTCCCTGCCCCAGGAACTCCAAGTGAAGGAGGGTCACCCCGCTGTGCTTTGCACCCTAGGAATTCTCCTTTGAAACCCGGTGGGGAAATCATCCTGGGGGGCACCGACCCAGCCTACTACACTGGGGACTTCCACTACCTGAGCATCAGCAGGAACGGGTACTGGCAGATCAGCATGAAGGGGTGAGGATATGGGGCACATCATCCAAATACTGCCCTGGGCACATAAAGGTGGGCTTGGGAGAATGGGGTTGTGGGCAGTGGGATGCTTTGTACTCTAAGAGGAAAAGGGAGTGGGGTCGGTTCTTCCAGCACAGAGCTGCACCATGATGATGTTCAGCTCATCTCACAGTGCTGGGGAATGCAGAGGGGGAGGCACTGTGGGTTGATTTCCCTTGGAAGCTGCAGTGGAAGAATTTAACCCCTGTCAGCCTGCAGGAGCAGTGTGAGATGCTGAAACAATTCTGCTTTGTTTAGCTTAAAAAAAATAATAATAAAATAAAATGCCACCACTGAGACCAACAAAAGATACATGATGAAGCCTTGCTGAGGAACTTGAAGGGAGTGATCCCAGAGGGGTTGTGTGCTGGAGGCACTGGGATCAGCATGTGCTCTGCCCAGCTGCTGCTTCTGAGCTGCAAACATCACGAGAGTTCAGGATTCCCCTCTGTCCCAGGGTGTCTGTAGGGGCTGAAATCTTGTTCTGCAAGGAGGGCTGCTCAGTGGCCATTGACACCGGAGCATCCTACATCACTGGCCCAGCCGGCCCTGTGTCCGTGCTGATGAAAGCCATTGGAGCAGCAGAGATGACTGAAGGAGAGGTGAGCAAAGCCCAGCTGCATCCCCACGTTCTCCCCAGCCCATCCTCAGGCTCAGCGCTGCCTCCTCCTCCTCCTGCAGTACGTGGTTGACTGTGAGAAGGTCCCCCAGCTGCCCAACATCTCCTTCCACCTGGGTGGGAAGGCGTACACGCTCAGTGGCTCAGCCTACGTCCTCAGGGTAAGCTGTGTCCCTGTGTGAGGGCAGGGATGGGATGCTGGTGGGGATGCACTTCTCCCTGCATCCCTGCAAGCAGTCACAGAGCGATGCTGCTCGCTGTTTCTCCACGCTCTCACGTGCAGCAGAGATGTCCAGGTAAGGCAGAGCAGCCCACTGCTGCTTCCTTGGGTTGGGGGATATATGGAGCCAGCAGAGCCAGGCTGGGGCAACCCTCTGTGGTAGAAGGGAAATCAAAGCCAAGCACAGGGCAAGCGTTGAGCTGGAAATCTCCCTCCTGCCACCTCTTCTACCGTAGAGTCTGCTCCTCTCTGCAGCAAACCCAGTACGGGGAGGACATCTGCGTGGTGGCTCTCTCAGGGCTGGACGTCCCACCCCCGGCTGGACCCCTCTGGATCCTGGGTGCCAGCTTCATCGGGCACTACTACACCAAATTCGACCGTCGCAACAACCGCATCGGCTTCGCCACCGCCCGCTGACCGCCGGGGGGGGCTGGGAGGCAGCTGGGAAGCAGGGAGCATCGCCGGGGAGAGAGCGATTCGACACGCAAACGAGAGCAGCGCTTCCTTAAAGCACAGCCACCTCCTCTCTGCACTGAAGCAACTGCAAATCCTCGCGTTCTCCCACTCCAAAACCCCCGCTCTGCTTCCCGAGAGCCTCCGCTGCCACGGGGGGGAGAGCGGAGCCCGGGAGCATCGCGCTGAGGAATCAAAGTGGGATCCTGCAGCTGGAGCTGCACCTCCGGGGGCTTTGCAGGGTGATGAGCGTTGCTGCTGGCTGGGGCAGAGGAGCTTTGCAGGTTGCAGACGCTGTGGATTGATGTTTGGTTGCTGTTCTTAGATGGGAGGCAAATTAATTGGTGTCATTAGGCTGCTTACAGCGATGGTTCTTTCAGCTGCTGTTAACCCTGCCCCTCTCTGCAATTTAATATTAAACAACCCCAGAGCAGTAGGAAGCTGAGCGTTCTGTGAGGAGGGAGAAATGAGGAAAAGTTCCCTTACGGGAACGGGGGAAGAATTGTTCTCTGCTGGGATCCACCGCTGTGCTTTAAGCAGGCAGCGCTGCAGGCTGCTCTTCCCTGTTGTGTCAGAGAGCTGAGAACCAGCTGCAAATCTGAGCCCATCCCAAAGCCAAGCAGTTGGCAACGCTCTCATCTCCCCCTGGTTGTGAGCACAGCTGAGCCCTGGGAACACACCTGTAACGAGCACAGCACCGTGCTGCAGGAGCTTCTCCTCCTCACCCTGCCACCAGCAATGGCTGCTGATTTCCCAGAGTGAATCCTGGCGATGGTTGGGAGCAATTCTCCTTCCAGCACAGCATGGGATGCTGCCAGCCAGGCTGCAGCCTTGCCGGCCTCCTTTCCTGCAAGGCCCAGGCTCTGAGCAGTGGCCAAGCTGCCAGTTTTTGCCCTTGGCAGGGTGTTGGGCAGCGTGTAGCCAAGCTTGAGTATTTAAACCTCTTAGCATCAAGCTGTGCATCCCTGGGATGGGAGAGGCACCCTGGGTGCTCCTCACTGCTTTCCATCCCCTTCTGCATCACTGTGAGGCTGGGAGAAGGGTGAGGATGGCTCTCTGGGGGAGGGGGGGGCAGATGGAAGTGACCCCCCTCCCCACCCGCTCTCACCCGGTGCTTCCTGAGCACTGTCACAGCATTCAGCTGCTCTGCAGCACAGGAAGCCCAGGGAATGGGGAGAGGCAGCCGCGGGGGGGAGGGTCTACACGGATCAGCTCTGGATCCACAGCCTTACAGCCACAGGGAGATGCTTGAAAGCTGTGGGGCCAATCTGAGACAGGATGCACCTTTGGGTCTGGTTCTGCTCCTTTTCAGCGCAGTCGCTCAGAGCAGCGGGAGAGAAAAACGTTTGGGCTGCTGCTGGCCCTTCAGCCTGCCCATTAGCACCTCTAATAGCCTGTGCCAGGGCCATTTCCTGGTGCCTGCTGTGCAGAGCTGGCTGCAAGGCACTGCTAACCCGCAACTGCCCCGTATTAACACTTGTGATCGTTACAGGCGAGCAATTAGGCCACGCTCGGCCCAGCAAAGAGACCGGAGCAATTACGGCCATCCTATTAAAACTGACAGCGTTCGCTCTATATATAGCAACGTAGGGAACTGGTTTATTTTCTTCCCCTTCCTTGAACGATTTTCCCCAAGTCTCCATGGTCCATTTAGTCGGCGGCAGCCGCAGCCAGCTGTAAACTTTGGAGGGGGCATTCTGTGCTCGGAGCCGTTGTTATTTCCTATGATAATGAACTGAGGCTGCTGTGGTGTCAGGGGGGCCGGCGGGTGGGTGATGCTCTGTCTTTAACCACTCAACCTCTCTGCAGCTCGCCTGTAAATCCCAGTTGGTGGGAGGTGAGTGTATTGCCTGGGTCCGGAGGGGACAGCACAGAAAACTGGTGGAGATTTTAAGATTGTAGAATAGGATTTTTTTATTTGGAAGGGTCCCAGATGTCAGCTTTTGGATTGGATGGGACCCACTGAGTGCAGCTCCTGGTGGAGATGATAGAATTACAGAATATCTTGATTTGAAAGGCACACAGACAAATCGCCGAGTCCAACTTTTGAGCTGGAAAAGACTGCCTGGATCCAACTCCTGGCTGTGCATCACCAATCCCCGAACCGTAGGATGCCACCCATTACCTCAGGGCACAACCTGCACCTCGGGGTGCCGCATCCCCTCCCACCCCCATCCCGACCCCCAGCCGCAGCCCTGCTCCAACCTCCTTCAGCCCCCACTTAAGCCCCAAAGCTCAACCCCGATCCCAAATCCCAGCCGCAAAGCTCCGAGCTGCCCAAATCCCCCAGAAACGTCAGCGCTGCCGAGAGGCTTCGGAACGCAGCCCGCAGGTGCGCGGGGCGGAGATGCCCGGAGGCGGCGAACGCAGCGTTCGGAGCGGGGCCGGTGCGGGGCCGGTGCGGGTCCCGCTGACCTCACAATGCGGGCGGGCGCTGGTGCGGGAGGCGGGCGGCGGGAGGCGGGCCGGTGACTCATGGCTTCCCAACGGCGGGCGGCTCCTCCCCGCGGCCGCCGGCCCCGCGGCAGCCCCCGGCACATGGGCCGCGGATCGGGGCGCTCGGAGCCGGGGATGGCCGTACCGCCCGGCCGCTGCCCGGATTGCTGGGATACGGAACGGGGAGGAGGTGGAAGTCGTGGGGTTCCCGGCGTGCTTCAGCTCGGTGTGTTGGTGGATGAAGGAGACGTGCTGCCCGGAGCGCTGCGGCTGATGCGGGAACTGAGACCCAGCTGGGAGCCGGCCAGGGTGAAGACCAAGGTACGGGGGGTGCACGGAGGGGGTTCCGTGGGAGGGGCTGTAGGATGCTGTAGGGCCTGACGTGGAGGGTACGACACACCGGTGCCCCGTTCTCTCAGGGGCTGAGCAGGTGTGCAAAGCTCTTGCACACCGAGCCCCCCCACGCACAGGCTCTGGGGACACCATGGGGAGCCACGGAATGAGGACTGTGGATGCAGAAAGGTCTCTCGGGGCTGGAGGTTGGGGGTCGTGGTGTCAACCCCCTGCATTACCCCACAGGTGCTGCACTGCATGGCAGTGCCACCGGACACCACACGTCACAGCTGCAGGGCTCATGTGGCTTAGCAGCAGGCTTGCACTTTTACCAGGTTCCTTTGCACAGAGCGAGTTGGGATGAGTGCTGACATCCTGCATGGAGCAAGGCTCACCTGTCCCAAGCTGGCACAGCAGTTCCTTGGAATCAGCAGCTCCCGTCCTCCTCCTGCAAGCCTCTGCCCAGGTGTGGGGTGCAGAAAGGAGGCAGCTGGGGGCTGCAGCGCCGTGGGATGTCTTGGGATTGGCATGGAGCAGGCAGGCAGCAGAGCTGGATGCACTCAACCACGCGTACGTGTGCATGCATGTCCTCTGAAGGCACACGCTTCCTGTGTGCCTGGAGTGCCATTAAAAATGTATTAATAGCCAAGTGTAATTAAATCCAAGAAGCTGCAGGAAAATACATACGAAAGGGCAGATGGTAAGGGACAGGAAGCTTGGAGTTCGAGTTCCTCAGGCTGCATAGTTGGGAGGGCAGGAAATGTCCCAGGCGCTGTGCAGCACCTCGCACAGCTCTGTGGTGCTTATGGGGAGCCTGAAAGGAGCAGGAGCACAGCTTTGTGGTGGCCAGGTTCTGCCCAGGAATGGAGAGGAGTTTGCGTTCAGCAGCAGCTTGCGTGTGTTGTGTTTTTAATTTAGAAAAGACCAAAAAAAAAAAAAAAAGAAGAAGAAAAAAAAAAGAAGAAGAAAAGAAAACTTAGGAGACATCAAGGGGAAATCCTCCGGTTGCATTTCTCTCTGCAAGAGGTATTGGGAGAGGATTGGAGCGGTGCGTTGTTCTCAGCTGGTTCCTATTAGCGTTCCTGTTAGCTTCCCTCTGCTGACTGGAGCAGTGCCTGGTTCACACCGCCTCGGTGTGCAGTGTTGGGGCACAGCTGCCTGCAGGGACTGTACCAGGCTGTGCCTGCAGCATGGAAAACCCTCCCGGCGCTTGGGACAGGGTGCAGAAAATAAGGAGGCCGGGTGCTCATCCAACTGCCAGGCTCCTCAGCCCCATGCACTGCATGTTGTGCTGCTCCTCGTCCTTTTGGTTCTGCTCCCTGGGCAGCAGTATCTCCATGTTGGTGTGGTGTCACAGTGACTCAACCAGCATAAATATCTCCGAAGGGAAGCAGCAACGCTGAAAGGATTCAGGCATGGCAGAGGGCTCTGCTGTCCCTCCTAGGATTTGTTTTAGCTTTAACTTTGGCAGCAAGGTGCTCTGCTGCAATGAGGGCCAGCGCTGCTGTGGTGTGGTTGGTGCTCAAGGAGAGCCAGCGTGGGCATGGGGACACAGGGCTGCAGGAGGGGGCAAGCAGGCACAGAGCTGCACCTCTTCAGTATCTTTGCACAAGGCTTGGGGCTGCTGCACAGCTCCTGGTGCACTCGCACTTGCTTTCCCCTTACACACACACCGTGCATGGGCATGCAGGTTGCTGCCGAGCCATGTGCGTGCAAGTCTCCAAAATCAATGGCCTGGAATTCAAAGGGGATAAGGCTCTGTAATCCCATTAAATCCACTGGAAAGGGGTGATGGGGCCATGAGGCAGCAAAACAAGGCACTGCGTGTGGACCTGGCATGGAGGCAGCGCTGAGCACCTCGAGGAGGAGCTGCTCACCTGTAGGTGCACACGTGCAGCTGGCAAACGTTGGCACAGCACTGCAGCATGTGCTGCACGCTGCATTACTGGAGCCTGGCAGGGCAAGAAGAGCTGAAATCGTGGTGGGAACACAGATTGGCCGGGTAGGAACTGCAGCTTGGTTGCTTGCAGCATCACCCTGCCCAGCTGCAGGTATGAGGATGATGGACACCGCAGCCCGTTGCGCCTGGCTGTGTAATTCCAGTGCAGAGTTTCCCTCGGCAGGCTGCACAGGGAAGCCCTATATATAGGCACCCCACATAGGAGCGTGAGTTGCCGAGTGAGCCAGCTAAAATTAGCTGTCCCACCCCCGAGCATCGCTGCTCCCTACCACGCACCCTCCAGCATCGCACCGGCTCCGTCTCGCCAAACAGCGAGGAGACGAAGGGAGAATGCACCGGGGATGCTTCCCCTCTCTGTGGCTGAGCATCCTGCCTTTGTGATGGGAACCCAAACCCCTCGTGATACCCATGGAGATGGCGGCTGCTCCGTGCTGCGGCCCAGGGCAGGGTGAGGACCCCGGCGCTGGAGGAACGGGGCCCGCATGTGCGCGGGCAGGCGGCCAAATCGGGGCTCCGGGAGAACAAAACTCTCTTTCCATCTGTGAGGAACCATCAGAGCAATGACAAGAGACGTCCCCAGCAGAGACGTCCCTGCCTATCAGCGACTCGTGGCCCCGCGGGGTGGGTCAGGAGGAGGAGATGGGGTGGTGGTGTTTGCTCAGCCTTGTTTGCTGTGCCATCGGTGGTTTCTGCCAAAAGGTTTTTTTGGGACCGGTTCCCAGGGTCGCTGAGATGCAGGCTGAGCTCGCAGCACATCTCACCGCCCCTGAGCAACAAGGAGAAAAACAGCAGTGAGTTTCCCCCCAGAAACGCTCACGGTTTGGTGCAGCTGAAGCCTTGTGCCCATGCAGGTTGTGCCTGACCCCGTGCAATCTTGTGCCACCTCCCACAGCAGCTTTTCCTGCTGTCCTGCTGCTCCGTGTTCCCCTTTCCCCATTGCCTATAACTGCCACTGCTGTATCTGTGCCATGAGGAAGGGGGTTCCCAGTGCCCACCCCGCATGGCAGGGACGTGCGGGCATCGCTCTGCCGCCCCTTCTCCCCTGCAGCTCTTCACCGACGGCATCACCAACAAGCTGGTGGCCTGCTACACGGACGAGGACATGGCAGATGCAGTGCTGGTCCGTGTCTATGGCAGAAAGACGGAGCTCTTTGTGGACCGGGAGACGGAGCTGAGGAACTTCCAGGTGCTGCATGCCCATGGCTGCGCCCCTGACCTCTACTGCGCCTTCCAGAATGGGCTCTGCTATGAGTTCCTGCCTGGCATCGCCCTGGGGCCCGACCACGTGCGGGACCCCCGCATATTCAGGTGTGTGGGACCCCCAGTGCTGGGTCGTATGGGGTCAGGGAGGGAGCAGGGGGAAGTGGGACCATGTTTTCAGTTCTCTTCCTGCTCCAAACTGGCACCCGAGGTGCTCCAGTCCTATCCTTCCCTTGCTCAGATCTGGGTGGTGATGGGGTCGGAATTCCCAGTGCTGTGCACCCAGGTGGGGCCGAGTCGACAGCTGTGATTTTAAAGCTTTTTGTGGAAGGGGGTTGCATGAGGATCGTGGCTTCAGTCTGAGCTCACCCTGGAAAGGTGAAGCTGTCCCTGATGGGCGTTTGAGATCCTTCAGAGGCTCAGGACTTGCATGGAACAGGGGGTTAGCTGGGCTGTGCGTGTGTTTTGGGGCATCTGTGTTGAGTCAGCTCCATTCCCCAGCTCAGACTCTTAATCACACCTCTGCTCACTTCCAGGCTGGTGGCCCAGGAGATGGCCCGGGTGCACACCATCCACGCCAACGGGAGCCTCCCCAAACCCATCCTCTGGCAGAAGCTGCACAAATACCTCACCCTTGTGAAGATGGACCTCAGCCCAAAGGTACCCAACCCCAGGTAAAGGCAGAGGGATCCCAAAGAGCCAGGCTCTGGCTTGGGCACCCACTGCCCACCCATCTGTAGGTCTTCCTCCTATGGGACGTGGGTCTCCAGGTAAAGCCTCTGCTGGAGTCTGGGCTTTGTGAGCAGGGGCTTGGGGAGTGCTGGCCACCTGTGGTTTGTGGTTCCTCCATGAACAAGGTTGTGGACAAACCCCTGAGAGCTTGGGGTGCTCATGGGATGGAGGCAGCCCCAGCTGCCTGCTGCGCTATGGTTGCACAGCACCTGGGCAGCATCTGACCTGAACCACAGACACCCATGTGCTGTGATCACCCTCCCTGTGAATCTCGCCTGTGTTTTATGCCATCGTTAGAAAAAGATGGAACCCAAAGCCCTTCTTACAGTGGGATCTGAGCAGCAGGGTTCTGTTATCACTGCTGGAAGGGATGCTGGCAGCCCAGCCCCATTTCAAAGCGCTTCATCCCATTGCTGGAAGGGCGATGCCATGCTGGGAGCCCGGGTTCGTGTCAGGTGAGTGAGGGCACATCAGCCCTCTGTGGAAGGGTGCAGGCAGCCCCCAGAGGTGGAGGAGGTGAACGAACCCCAAATCAAGCAAATAATTAACCCTGTCCCTGGGATGGGATGCAGGGCTGTTCCCAGTGCTTTACCCAACGCTGCACCGTACATCCAGCCAGTGTGGTAATTATTAACGTGCTCCATTCTTGGAACAGCTGCAGAGGTTACTGAGTATGGGGCCTGGAGGATTCAAAGAATTCCCATCACCTTTGGGTTGATCTTAGAGATGAAGGGAATGGCTGAGGCCGTGCCAGGTGCCCTGGGGACCACGGAGGATGCACCAAGTACCGAAGCTGAGCTTCCCTACCAATAACTGCTCTGTGTCACTAATGAACTCATTTACAACATGCACAGAGGGAAGTGGGGGCAACGCTTCCCCTCTGCTCCTATGGGAGATCCCTGTGAGCAGAAGTGATTCCTCCCCTTCCCCTTCCCCAGCCTCCACCAGGACGTGCCCAGCCTGGAGATGCTGGAACATGAGCTGGCCTGGATGAAGGACACACTCTCACAGCTGGGCTCCCCCGTCGTGCTGTGCCACAATGACCTGCTCTGCAAGAACATCATCTACAACAGAGCTCAAGGTCAGTGGCAGCAGCAGAGGGGTCACTTTGTTCCCCGCTCCCCGGTGCTGATGGCTCCAGCCCCAACCCATTGCTTTGCTTTGCAGAGCACGTCCGTTTCATCGACTACGAGTACACTGGCTACAACTACCAGGCTTTTGACATTGGGAATCACTTCAATGAGTTTGCAGGTGAGCTGGCTCCTCTCCGTGGCTCTGAAGCTCCCCCTGGGTTGGGGCAGCTCCCCACTATCTCCCCATCCTCGAGGAATGAAGGAGTGAGCTGGCATCTCTTGATGGGAAATGGACGCAGTTCCTTGGGTGATGTGCAAAGCAGTGTCTCTGCTTGCCCTGATCCACTGGTTGAGGTGTGATGCCTGCAAGAACTCGGCTCTATGAACTGAGTGGGTGCCTCAAATCAGAGGGCTGAACACTCTGTGCAAGCCCAGAGCTACAGTTGTTTCACTCACATGGGGAGAACACTTCGGCCACATCAGTGTGCCCTGAAAGAGCCGCCCTGTGGCCACCTACAGCCCCTCTCCCCTTGCAGGTGTGAAGGAGGTGGATTACCGCCTGTACCCCAGCAAGGAGACCCAGCTGCAGTGGCTGCACTCCTACCTGCAGGCCTACAAGCAGCTCACCCAAGGGGGGCAGGGAGGCAACGGGGTCACCGTGTCCGAGAAGGAGCTGGAGGCTCTCTATGTGCAAGTGAACAAGTTTTCTTTGGTGAGTGCTGGAGGTGGGAGGTGGGAAGGAGCTGACTTGATCCCTGTGTTCTCCTTTTCACTCGCAGGGTTCAGGTGCTGCTGGGGGCCGCCCCACAGAGCCTGGCTATGCTTAGAGGTGCTGAGCTCCAGGGCAAGGTCACAGATAGTGCTGGGTGAGGATGCTGAGATTGCAGAGTCCCAGTTGGCAACCTGAGCAGCTTGCTTTTGCCAGGAGCATTTACAGAAATGATTTTCAGAGAAGGCTGAAGCAGAGGTCTGACAGCTGAATTGCAGCCCTTTGAACTGAGGCAGGGAGTTGTGTGCAGGGACATCTGTGCTCTGCCCCCACGCCTTCCAGCAGAGCTGTTTGCTGCAGCAGGGACCTATCCCAGCATGGCCAAATCTCATGTTGGCTGTGGGGTCAGGAGAGATTTCCAGCAGCAAAGCTGTACCCTGAGCGCTCTGCACTGCTGCTCAGCATCCTTCCTCACCTGGGCTGCCATCCACCTTTGGAGCTCATAGAAATCCACGCTTGGGCTGTGCTGCTTCTGATCCCTGTTCTGTCTGTTGCAGGCATCCCATTTCCTGTGGGCATGCTGGGGCCTGATCCAGGATAAATACTCTACCATAGACTTTAACTTCTTAAGGTGAGTCCGTGCTGAGCTCTGCAGAGCTGAGGGGGCCAATGTCCAAGCGCTCAATACTGGATGGATCCCAAAACCCTGGCTGGGTGCGTGTCTCACGTCCGTCCCTCTTTTGGCAGATATGCAAAGCTAAGGTTTAGGCAGTACTTCAAGATGAAGCCGGTGGTCACAGCCCTGCAGATCTCCAAATAGTGACTCTGGCCCTTGGGACCCTGAGTTATTTTGTCCTTGCTGCATCCACAGCCCTGGCACCTCCCTCGCCTCCTCCCTGCCCAGGGGTGAGGGCAGGTCCCGACAGTGGGAAGGGGGAAGAGGAGCTTTACCCCAGCCACCGATTAAAGGAGACCCTGGACATACCCAAGACTGGACCATGAGATGCTCGAGAGGACCACAGAGAGGTCCCTACACAAGGACATCTCACCACCGCCTTACAGCGAGCCTGGCTCAGCCCTGCTGCCCGGCAGCCCTGTGTCCTGCTGGCATTGCTGCTGCTGGGCCTGGCACTGGGAGGAAATGGGACCCCCCTCATCCATCCATTCAGCACTGAGCACTGCTGGGTTGCTTTAGCTGCCCCGTGCTCACACTGTGCCTATTGGCTTCACTGTTCCCTCTGTCCTCTCCGCCCTGCCTGCTCAGTACTCTCGCCCCTCAAAACCACCCTCCGTAGGTCTGTGTTCACCCCAGAGCTGGGGACCCTTTTCCAAGTGGGATGGGTGCTGCTGCCATCCGGCTCCAGGCTGAGCCATAGCACTGCAAGGCAGCGAAGGCAGCATCCTCAGCAGTGCTTCAAGCACTGCTCTGTGCTCAACCTGGGGCTGCTTCTCCCCACAGCCCCATCAGCTTCACTTGCAGCATCCCACAGAGCAGCAGGGGGGCTCCCAGCCCTGTCACCCCCCACGTCCTCCAGTAATGGGGGGCTCAGTGCAGCCACGGGTATGGAGTGTGGCTGCCCTATCCCTGCACTCTTCCCCCCATCAGTGCAGCCAGGCCCACGCGAGATGCCCTGGCAGGAGATGGATGGAGCCGTGCTGTCCCTAGAAGTGGGCACAGCTTTGTCCTCAGCTGGCATTTGGCTGCTGTCCCCTCTGCAAGGATGAGCCCACCCCACTGAGCACTGCCCAGCTCATGACAGCAGTGGTACATCAGGTGGGGGCTGGGGGACACGGTCACTTGCCTTGGCTGCTTGGCAGATGCCAAGGGACAAAGCATCTGCCCCCTCTGCCAGGGCACAGGAACCTAACCCAGCAAAAACCTGTGACTTTTGTTGCATCTGGTGTTTGTTTTGGTGCACAATAAAAGCTGCTGGTAGCTGGAAATCGGGGGCCAATGGATCTGTGGTGCCTGGTTCAGGACTTGGGCTGGTGCAGGAGCTGAGGGGACCTCTCATCACAGGGTGTGCTGCTTCTGATTCCCCCTGGCAAAGCAGTGTCCCTGCTCCAGGCAGAGCACTGTGCAGCATTTGGCTGCAGGAAGCAGCGGGCAGAGGAGGCTGGGGATGAGACAGGTAAGAAGGGAGGGGAGGGCAGGGGAAAGAGCAATGGACCAGCACAGAGAAAACATCATATGGAGAAGGAAGAGGGGTGGGAAGGGGGAAGGAAGCCCCCAGATCTCTACACTGGAAGCCTGGATCCCAAGTCCTTGCGTTGGCCAGACTCAGCCCCGAGCTCAGTTCCAAAACATCATCTTTATTGTGCCAAGGGGTGGGGAGGGCAGTTTGTAAACAAGTATGTGAAATATACAGGTTAAGTTACTCGTCTTATTAACAAAATAAAGCTCTATCTATATTTACAGTCTTAAAAAAAAAAAAAAAGAAAAAAAAAGAAAAAAAAAAAAAGAGAGAGGAAGAGCTGCTCCTTCGGTGCGCGGCCGCATCCAGCCCCCAGCCTGAGCTGTGCCTTGGGGGGAATAAATAAAGCACTGAGAAAAAGGGAAGAGAGAAGGGGGTGGGCAAAGAGAAAGGATCTCCACTGGCTGCTGTGGCCCTGGAGTGAGAGGGAGCAGCAGCCCCTAGCAGAGGTGTGATGCACGCAGCACGGCTGTGCCTGGCTGCTGCCACACGGCGGTGCGTGTGCTCCGTGCTGCTCCCGGCGCTGCATGCACAGCCGGCGCTGCACCTGCATGCAAACCCTGTGCTGGGTGCACGGGTGCTGAGCAGAGCCAGATATTACCTTTAAATCGCTATTTTTTCCTCTCCCCCCACTCCGTCTCCCACCCTCCCCCCCCCCTTCTGCTGTTTCCATGATGCACAGAGGTGAAGCCTTGCACTCGCGGAGCTGCGGTGCAAAGGAGGCACCTGGGGATGCGTGGACCCACAGCAGTGCTGTGCACCGGGGCTGCCCGAGGGCTGGGGCACAGCCAGGGAACAGCACCCGCCTTATTTACAAAGTGGGACAGAGCATCGGGAGCATAAAGGGCTCCTCAGCGCCCTCGGCTCGCACTCGGGTCAGGCAAGAGCTAAAAAAAGCCTCCATGGGAATTCACTGGCAGGCTGCAAGGGGGAACTGCAGCGGAGTGGGGAGGGCTTGGCTGAGCAGAGCTTACGGATGCCCCCGTGGCCAGGCGTCGGCAGGTGGCATGGGTAGGGAATAGAGGGCTGGAAGATTCCCATGTCCCATTCCCCCCAGGTCCTTACTGGGGGCTGCAGGGTTCCTGAGCCATCAGCTCTCAGCCAAGCTGCAGAGCCCCATTCCCTACAGCAGCAAACAGCACCGCCACGTACCCAAACCCCCCACCATCACCCACTCATCTCATCTCATCCCTGCGGCTGCTGGCTCTTTGCCCGCGCCGCATCGGGGGTCACCAGCGCCTGGTGCCAGCCAGCCCCGCTGCCCCCCGCCCGGCCCTTCAGTCTGTCAGCACCACCAGCTCTCCATCGCTCTTCTCCTCTCCCTCCGAGTCCTCCTCCTCGCTGTAGCGATACATCTCACCATCCGCCACCGAGTGCCCATCGTCCCCTCCGCCGTCACCTTCCTTCAGGCTACGAGCGCTGACGATGACGGGCATGCTGGGATCCACGCCACGGGGCAGGTAATGCTCCATCAGCGGGGACGGCAGCTGCATGCCCACCGGCCGAGGGTACAGCACATCCGAGGAGCCGGGGGGCAGCTGGCTGCCTTGGGGACTGCGGGATAAGGGGGAGGGGAGGGGGGGGGATGCCATCAGCGGGACGGGAGCGGGGCGAGCCCCTCGCTGCCCCCAGGGCATCCCTCTGTGTTACCCTATCAAATAGCCCTGCCGGGCATCCTGCCGCCGGTTCCTCATCAGCGCTTTGTACTCCCCCACGCGCAGCCGTTTCCCCTCCACGATGCACGTGCGTTTGGGTCGGGGTTTGTACTTATAGTCGGGATATTTCTCCAAGTGCTGTCGGCTCAGCCGGGCTTGTTCCTCGTAGTAAGGCTGCTTCTCCTGGTTTGTCATCGACTTCCAGCGGGAGCCTGGGCATAGAGGAGCCACAGGGTGTGCTTAGCCACTGCCACACTGCAGCTTCCCCATGGAGATCCGTGTGCACGACCCCATGGCAAGAGGGGATTCACGCTCTTGGGGGCTGGATTTAGATCATGTTTAAGGTTCCTTCTAAGCCAAGCCATTCTGCGGTTCTAGGAATGTTCACATGCTGCTCTATGCACACTACACTTGCAGCAGTGCAATGCATCCCCAGACTGTGGGGCCCTCAAGTGTGATAGGAGCCAGAGTTGGGGTTGGTGGCACCCCTGGGATCGCTGCCATGCGTGGTCCCCAGCCCTGACCTTCTGGGGCACCTCTCCAAATAGGTGCTGTGGCTGCTATAGGCTGTCCTGGTGTGTGACTCAGATTCCTCCAGTGGCTGACCTGCATTGTCACTTCTACCTGCACCCAAGGCAGGAGGGGAAAGGGGAGCACAGCACAAGGCTGCTGACTGGGCAGGGGAGGGATGGGATCAGGGGCTACAGCCAGACCCATGTCCGGGTCTGGGGAGTGATGGTCACGCTGGAAGGATCGCATGATTGCACCGTGGGGCGAATCTGGGATGGCTCAGCCCGAGAGAAAGTGCAGGGGCTTTAACTGCAGTTTCCACTGCTTAAAGGGCATCTGGGGAAGAGTGAGCCCAGCTCTCCTCACAGGCGCACCTTGAAGGACAAGAGGCAGCAGATGAAAGGCAAATTACAGCTGGGAAATAATTCATCCTGCTGGGAGTGGGGCAGCCCTGGGAGAAAGTCCATGAGGGGAGTGGGATCTTCACCCTTAGAGATGCTCAGAGCCAACAAGAGAGCCTTGAGCATCCTCATCTGAGGATGATGCTAGCAGTGCTTATGGCCTCAGACTTCCAGAGTCCTTGTCCCCACTCCCTAAACCCTCCCTCAGGTCTCCATCCCCTAGAGCTCATCTCCTTCCCCTGTTCCACCAGTTGGGCACTCTGAGTAAATCGAGGCACGGAGCCACACGCACCCCACATCCTCCCCCTCGTGCTCAGCCCCTCGTGCTGCCTGAGCCCCAGCAGCCACACAGGAGAGCACACAGCAACCAAAACTCCCAGCCTCGGGTGAGCACCGGTCCCAGCCCCCTCGGCTGCAGGTTAAATTTGCCCCAGTGAACAGCGAGCAGCTCCGGCTCCCCATGCAGAACTGCGCCAGCTATTTAAAGCCACGGACATTGAATGTGACAGCAACCAGAACACCACACGCGTCTGCTCCCAGACCCCTCTCCGACCCCCAGCGGTTGCAAGCAGATCCTGCCTGCGTGCTCTTTCAAAGGGAGAAGCCCAGAGGTTGTTTCGGTTCTTTTTTAACGAGCGGAGCTGCTAAAACGAGGCGGCGGCGGAGCGAAGCGTGTGAGCCTTCAGATGGGCTACCGGGAGACCACACCGATTGCTTTTAATAGCTGGGGTGAAACAGGCTGCCCCAGGGCTGGGGTGACAGCAAGCTGCTGGTGGGGAGCTGGGGGACAGGGCTGGAGGATGCTGCCAGCTAAATGAGGATTGTGCAAAATCGTCCTGCTGGGGATACAGCAGCATGGGGTGCAGAGAGCATTGCAGGGGGGTAAAGGGGTGGCAAGTAAAGAGCTGCACTTGGTGGAGGATAGCAATGAAACAGTGCTGGGCTCTGGGTCCCTGCATAGGGGGGCATTTGCCCCAAAGATCCTCGCCCCAAAGGATGCCCATGACCTGCTGCTCAGAGCAGAACCAAGGAAGCCAGCAGTGGGTCCAGGTCCACCCTCACCCTGAGCATGCACTGCGCCCCTGCTGCTGCCTCTGGTTCCTCTTTGCACACCTTTGTCAATCTGATTGTCAGTCATGGCCCCATTGCTGTGCCCCCCAGTGCTGTGGGATGTACAGAGAAGGGTTTCCTTCTCCTTTCCATCTCACATCACAGTTGGGATCCCCAACCTGGACACGGTGAGGCAGGGTGGACGCAAAGCACTCACCCAGGATCTTGCTGATGCTGGAGTTGTGCATATCTGGGAACGCCTGCAAAATCTTCCTCCTCTCATCCTTCGCCCACACCATGAAGGCGTTCATGGGCCGTTTGATGTGGTTGTTGTTCCTGGACTCGGGGAAATGCCGCGTTCCTACGAGAGGGACCCCAAAGTCTGGCTCAGAGCAGGAGGAAGGAGCAACGTGGCACTGCCCCACGGCACCCACCGTCCCCATACCGTCCATCTCACAGCTCAGCAGAGTCTCATCCAGGCGGTGTGTGGGTGTCTCCTCCATCCGCTCCTTCACAGGGGAAGCATCGATGCCAACGTGGTCCTGCAGGAAGGGTGGATGGAGTCATCATGGGGTGCAGTGATGGAGGGGTGGGGGGTCACCCTGGGTTCGGCTCACCTTGCGGTAAGGGTGGCTCAGCGCTCCCTCCATGGCACCGCTGTGGCCGTGCAGCAGCTGCCGTGCATCCTGGATGGCTTTGGTGATGGCATCGCCCTCGCCCAAGAATCCTGGTGGGAAACCAGCCCGAGGCACCCGTCAGCACCCCAAAATCCCATAATGCCTATCCCCAACCCAACAAAAAATGGGGCCGCGTGGCCCTGTGAGGCGGCACGGTGCACCCAGAGCACCCCAACAAGGTGAGACACCAAGGAGCAGAGCTGCCTGCCGCCTCTGGGAGGTGTTGTTGGGGAGGTTTTAGGACCCTCCACGGGTGGAGGTGATGGGAACCCACCCAAGGGCAGGTTGGACGGGCTGCTCTGCAGGTCTCGCACAGCCCCATGGCTCGGTGTGAGGGACTGGCAGCTGCTCATCTTCAAACTGGGTGAGCTGGAGGCACTGGGGAGCTCGGAGCCTTTGGGTTTGGCCGTCAAGTTCAGCGGCTGCGAGGTCTCCTGGGGCAGAAGGAAGGCAGGGTGTGATGTACAGCCCCTGGCACACCCAGGCGCAGGGGAACAGTGGGTGCTTTGGGGCTGTAGAGGCACTTTGGGGCCATACCTGCATCTGGAGGTGGCCAGAGCCGCTGGGTCTCTTTAACGTGGGAGGAGGAGGGCTGTGCAGCAGCTGCACGGGGTAATCCACTGCAGGGAACAGAGGAAGTGTTGGGGGATGAGGGCACCCCGCAGGCATCCGTGTGCCCTGGGGACTCAGCTCACCTGGCTTGCAGGGGATGGGCTGGATGGGCAGCGCTATCTGGGGGTCCTGGGTCACAGGAAGGGGCTGATGGCTGGGGGTGAAGGCAGGGATCATGACGTAGGGCATGTTGACCTGCTGGAGGAAAGAGCACCACGGATAATGGTTGTGGGATGGCGTAGCTGGGCTGTGTCCCCACTGTCTGGCTCTGCGGGTGGCTACAGGGGTGTCCCCCACCTTTACCTGGATCTGTTGCTGCAGCAGGTTGATTTTGTGCTGCTGCTGGATGAGCTGCTGCTGCTGCTTCGCAATCTGGAAGAAAGGAGACAGAGGGGCTGAGCAATGGGAACAGGGGCTCCTGAGCCCCCATGGGGCATGAGCTGCCCAAATCCAAAAGCGATGTTCCCAAGGGCACAGTGGCCTCCTGTGGTTGGCACAGGAGATGTCTCAAGGGCCACAGGGAGAGAAATGCACTAGGAGAGACCATCATCCATACACCGTGTGCCAGAGATGCCATCCCTGCACTTGGCACCGTTGGGTCACCCATACCCTGATGTCATCCCCACACTTAACACTATTAGGGATAAGAGGAATAAATCAATGTTCAAAGAGCAAAGAAGAGGGCAGTCAGGAAGGGGCTCGTTAAGGACTTCCTATGATTCATCCTCAACATGTAGATAAGGAATGGAGAGCTTTGACCCTGAGCCACCCCATAGCAAGCAGTAGGAGGGGAAGTCTTGGGATGGGCACAGAAACAGGGAAGGTTTCTGGGCAGATACCAAAGAGCTTCTTACTACTTCTAGAGGGGTTCTGTCCCCTGGACCCCATCCCTCTGGTCCTGCCTCTGTAGTCAGAGGGTACCAAAGTGAGCCCCGAAGGGACACAGGTCTCCTGGGAGCTCACCTGCTCCTGCTGCTGCCGCGCCAGCTCCATCTGCTGCTGCTGCTTCTCAAAGAGCATTGCAGCCATGTTCTTCTGCTCGGAGTGGGCTGTCAGGAGCTGATCCCGCAGCGTGGACAGCTGGTTGATCATGACGAGCAGCTGGAGCTCTTTCTCTGCCAGGCTCTCCTGGGTTCCTGCATAGGGAAGAAGCAAAGTTGGGGGCTTGAGGAGCAGCATCACCACCACGGGTGGGGGCTGTGGTCAGAGGGGTGTTCAAAAATCCCTCTGTGCCATCAGAGCAAGGTTTTATCAGGAAAGCCCAGTTCTGGGTAATGAGTATTTTGGGTAAAAACCTACAAATCTCCACAAAACGTGGCGCTGCAGACACACCTCCCCTCCTATTGATGGGGGAACACAAAGTCATGCGGGCACCTGAGGGGGGCACAGAGCACCGAGGTGGCACAGAAGGGACCTCACCCTTCACTTCTTTGGTCTCAGCAGCATTTCGGCCCAGCAGCCTTTCCTTCCAGTCGCTGGAGAGTAATTTCTCAATGGTTGGCATCACTGTCCCCATCAGCAGGCACCGCAGTCAGCAGAGCAGAGTGGGGAGAGGAGAGCCAGGTGAGCACGGCCTGAAGCTCTGCACCGTGGCTCTTCCAATCCCAAATCTTCCCAAAAATAGAGAGGTCCCAGAAACCTTTCTTACCCTCTTTTAAGTTTCTGTTGAAGTCCAGCTTCTCCTGGCTGCCGACAGCCGGCTCGAAGGCTGAGCACCGCGGCTCCAATGCATCACCAGCGGGTGAGCAGGACTCCTGCACACACAGAGCATCACTCGGTGGAGAACCCGTGGACAGGGACATCTACACGTCTCCAAGGAGGAGACACCAAGCTGATGGGGTGCTCAGAGCTGATGGGGTGCTTGGAACTGATGGGATGTTTGGAGCTGATGAGATGCTCAGTGACATCCTGGCCCACGTGCTCCTGCAGCACTCCCCCAGCTTGAAAGCCTCTCAGTGACCAAGCCCTGCTTTGCAGGAGGTTGCTGTTATTTCTTTGGAGTGCCCTGCTTCTCCAAGCCCAGGGACTGAGAATATTGGGCAGAGAGAGAGGAAGCTCGAGAGCAATTAAAACAGGAAACTAACAGAGTGGCCCCGGTCCTGCATGCGGGGACAGTGGAAGATGTCTGCAGGTGGCCCTGGAGAGCTGAGCGCCAAAAGCTAATGCCAGAGCTGAGCTGAGAGCACTGACAGCAGCCAAAAAGCCTGAGGGGAACCTCAGGTTTCAGCTTCGTTTCCTCAGGATGAGGAATAAAAGCTCAGGGAAACGACAACCTCTGTCTGCCTGGGGTGGGATGCAGCGCACTGCCAACCCAAAGGGACCAGGGCTCGGTCAAGGCCAGGAGCAGAGGCGGTCACAGTGATGGGACCCACCTGTGGCAATGCCTGGGGGTCTGTGCCCTCTCTTGGTGGTGGTCCCGGGGGGTCGTTGGGATGGGGCTCAGTGCTGGGGGCAGCCCCCGGTGGGCTCTCGTAGCCACTCTCCTTCTTCTCCTCCGTCTTGATGCTGCAGTTCACCATGCTGCCCGCCCCATCGAGCTCCAGGTGGGGAGAAACGGGGCTCCTCATGGACATCCTGCAGAACAGCAAGGCTGTTAGCAGAGAGATGGGGGTCTCCCCTCCTCCCCACACATCAGAGGTACCCCTTTGCCCAGCCTTGCCCTGTGCTGGTGGTGAAGCTGAACCCTGGGTGCTCTAAGGGCTCTCCATGATCAGCCCCCAGCGGGGCACCACGGGGCACAGAAATGTCCTAAGGGCATCCAGTGGGACACCAAGCATGGCCAGAACCAGTTTTTTTTTCCCATAGGATGTGCCCTAAGCAATGTGCCACAGCCACGTCCCCCGCACAGTTTGTGTCCCCAAATGGGACAAGCTGGGATCCCGCTGCAAACTCCCAGCAGGAATTTCCCCCAGCCCCCGGACCACCAGCCCTCACAACACACAGCAACAACAGCACCAAATGCCCCCTCCCCACCTTTACCTTTCAGGGTGGAATAATAGGGGAAGGAGACCATCAGGGATGGGATTTACAGCGGGATGAAGGGCACGGGGTCCCTGTAGCAGGGACCCCCCAGCCCTGCACCCATCAGGGGGTCCTGCCTGCACCCCACCATCCAGGGGCCCCCAGGACAGGACCGGGCTGCACCATCGGGGCAGCGGTGACACAACAAACAAAGCCCGGCTCAAGCTGCGAATTAATCAAACTGCTGAAAATAAAACCTTCCTCTCAGGAACTTCAAACAAAAGAAACGAAAACAACAAGGCCGGCTGGGTAATGAAAAGCCAGGGCTCTGAATAGGGGACAAAAGGAAGTGGAACAATAGGGTGTTGGACAAAAGCAATAAAGTAAAGGGAAGTGTGACAGCTCAACAATGGGGCACTGTGCGCGCCAGAGTTTCTGATCTTAGCAGGGCTTTTTTTAATCTCAGTTCCCTGCCCTTCTCTGAACAAACCCACGGTGCTCTCCGGGCTCTGGGTTTCCTCCCAGCTCCAGCCCTGCACGGTATCTGCCCGCATCCTGCAGCACCGCCCGCTCCCCTTTCCTGCCCCCTGCCCACCTCGGGGGGCAGCCCGGCAATGAGTCCATCCTCTCTCTCCCCCCCTCCGGGATCGATGCTCATAAAAACACCCCGAGGGATGGGGAGGAAATGGGCGCTGCTGGCAGCAGGACCGAGCCGGCGTGCAGCCAGCGGGATGCTGTGCTCAGTGTGCTGTGTGCATCCAGGTGCCCCGCGGTCTCCCAAAGCCTGAAGTGCTGCAGATGGGGAATAATGAGGCAGCAAAGCACAGCCCCGGGGGCTTTTGCGGCTCAGGAGTTGGTGAAGGAGTAAAGAGAGGAGTTTGGGTGCTGAGTGCTGCTCTGCATGCATGGGGCTGCAACAGCAACAAGCTGAGTTCGGTATGGGAGAGGAGAAGCAAGGTTGGTGCTCCTTCCATCCCTTCTGAAGGCACAAAGCCCAGCTCCATGCATTCCTGCCATCATTTCCCCTCCCTGCCTCCAGCAGGGATGCAGTCAACCCAAGGATGCCCACACAGTGCTCAGCACAGAGCGATGCCCAAAGCTGGAGGAGCACAAAAGCAAAGTGCCAGCGCTCAGTCAGGTCACCTTCCCATTGTGCTTCACCTCCCGGTGCCACTGGAAGTTTACTCTTTAAAATACGGCCGATGCTTTAATAGGGGTCCGTGTGAAAGGGGCCTCATTGTGGGATTATTATACGGTTTGCTGAACAAAAAAAAAAATGTAAAAAAAGGGAGAAGAAAAAAGAGAAAAGTGAGTGGTGATCTTGTTACAAGGCTTGTTCCCATAGCAGGGCTGTGCTGGCTGTCTCAGGTGTGCTCAGCTCAAGGGCTCCTCTGTTGCACAGACAATAGGGCCGGGAACAATTGCCTTGGCACAGGGAATACATCTTCATGTAAGAGATCTTCGCCTTTAATGTTTGCTATTTAATGAAGGGCGGAGGGGAATGGAGCGAACAGAGCACGGATGAGCAGTGCCAGCCTGGAGAGCCACAGCGAACAGCGCAAGCACGGGGACAAGGTGTACCCAAAGATCAGCACAAATGGGGCTTCTTTGCAAAGCCCTACAGCTGCCACCCCAGCACACCTCGCTTTGTTCACCTTACCTGCAACCAGGCTGCCCCAGCTAAAGCCCAGAGCCCAGGGCTGAGGTTTGGGGATGGCGACAGCCGGCTTTTCCTTCTCCATTCGTACCCCTCAATGGCACATCCTGCAATTCTCCCCTTGTGCTGTGCCACCCTTCCTGGCTAGGAGCTGATCCTATCTGCCCCATTTGTGTCACAGCCGAACAGCTCGTTAGGGCAGGGGCAGAGCCAGCAACAGCCTGGCACCATGGGTGATGCTAATGTGCCTCCTGCCGAGCCCTCCCCCCCCCCCGGACCCTTTAGAGCATCCCCTCACAGGTCTCCAGCATTGCAGAACACAGCACTCACCTCTGCACAGCAGCAAGGGGGAAAAACGCCAGCAGAGATGCACTGCAGGCTGCACCAGGCTCAGAACTGAGGGTTCCTGCTCCTCAGTCCAGGGCAATTCCACCCCATGGGATGGCAGCACTGAGGGGTCCCACAGAGTGGGACATAGGAAAGCATCCCAGCAGCTGATGGGGTGAGTTGGGTTGCCTGGCTTTTAGGATCAGCCCCATCTGCCCATCACCAAACGCACCAGCAGATCCGAGAGGCCGTCAGCTTTTTTCTTTTCCTCTTTCCACACAGAAAAATATCAGTTCATAGATTCCCTTCCACCTCCCCACGCACGCAGCAAGCCAGGGGAAAAGCACCAAACGTAGCCAAACACAAAATCCAACAGGGGAAAACACCACACAGCACAGAGCAGCGGGAAAGCACCGCAGGCACGAGCTGCGAGCACCCCCAGGAGAGAGAGCAGGGGGAAAAATAAACCACACACAGGTTCTCTCCTTCCAAGCAGGGCTCAAGGAATCCCTCCGGTCACCGGCACAGACAATAGCCCGTCTCCTGCCAGACGAGAGGACTGCTTTCCTGCCAGACTTGGAATGTCCTTTCGGGGCCCTTTCCAAGCGTTTCCGCCCAGCGTGCCTTCACACATAAAAGGAGGGATGGTTTCCTCCTGCCACGGCCACTGCGTGCCTGGGGGGGTGGCTGAGGTGAGGGACACAGCTGGGAACTTCACGAGGTTGCCATCCCATGGGGACGCAGGGACAGCGGGGTGCATGGCAGGGAGAGGGCAGCACTTCCTACACTGGGATCGGGGCTCTGGTGTGTGTAAAAATAGAGGGTCATGGGGTCAAGTCTCACCTTTTTGAGCTCGCGAGGGATTGCAGCCAACCTCTGGCACTCCACACTAAGGCATATCTGCTGTCCCCAGCGCCGTGCTGTCACTAGCAGGAGGAAATGGTGACCTTTGGGGATGCAGCAGAGCTGGAAGTGCAGCCCGTGTGGCTCCCGGCCAAGCAGGAATCAGCAGCGGGGCTCCTGCACAGAGCCATTCACAAACACCCAACAGCTGAGGATTCATGCCCAGAAACGCCCAGTGTAGGACCATGAAAAAGCAGGTTTTAAGCCCAAGATACACCTGGATGTTGGGATACTGAAGTCACCCAGAAGCCACGGATGCTGCAGAGCTGCCATCACCTCGTGGCAGCCACAGCTCCACGTGTCCCCGCCAAGCCAGGCAGAGCCGCAGCGGAAACGCTCAGCGCTGGGGCGAGCCGACGCTTTGCACATCCTCTGCAACACCTCACCTGCAGAAAGCCCCAACCTCTGCCTTCCCAGCATGCTGCCAAGTGCTGGCGTTGCTGAAAAGCTGCAACATCAGTGCCGAAAAGGGAGAGATTTGGAAAGCATTGCTCTCGGTTCATTTCAGCAAAACTCTGGGGGCTCGCGGGCAAAACCGCAGCTCCAACCAGAGCTGGGATTTCCCAGTGCCCACACGGAACACGGCGCTCTTTGTCTGTTCCCCAAAGGCTCCCCGTGGCTCTGACTGGGGGGGTGACAGCCTCCGGAAACGTCCCTGTGGGCTCAGAGCGCAGCGGTGACACCAAGGTGACAGAATTGGCATCATGGAAACTCCTGGCAATGGGCACGCAGGGGAGGTCACCCCTCCGTGTGCCACCCCAGCACCTCCTGCCGCCCACATCCCCTCCACTCCCAGTCTAGTCAAGCCTGGGACCCGTATCTCACAGGGAGGAGGATTCCCCCCTTTGCTTCTAGAGGCCGTGCTCGGCTCTCCAGCACTGCCAGGCTGGGGCTCTCGGTGGGGTGGAGCAGCAATTCTGCATCGCTCAAGTGGAGCGTAGAAATGCGTGGCTCCTGTTGCTGCACAGCTCCTGTTGCTGCACAGCCCGTGGAAGCTTTAACTCTAAAGCAAGAGGACGTCCTGGAGAAGCAGAGTGGTGCTGTGGGATGCTCAGTGTGGGGACGGGACAGCAAAGCCCCCCATGATAACAATGAGAGGTGAACGCCGTGTGCTGCCATCCCTGGCACATGGGTCCCTTTGGCACAGCCTGCAGAGGTCTCAACCACATCACATCCCCGGGTTCTTGGGGGCCCTTTTTACTCACAATTTCCAGCTGGTTGTGAATTCTGCTCTCACAGGGCTTCCTAAGCTGCTCCTTACCACGCTGCTCTGGTTTCATACAAGATGGCAGAGGGCCACATCACCGCCACGAGGCGCCTTCCTGCCTCCCCCCTCTCCAGCACAGGGGCTCAGCCGGGACCTCCCCCTGCTGCCAGCACCCCACATCCAGATGGGGGCAATGAGCCTCACAGCACAGCGCTGGAGGCCTTAAATCACATCCAATGTACCCATATTCACCTCAAAGATGTAACACATGCACTATGCGCTCAGCAGCAGCACTAGAGCCAAACAAATAACCCAACGCAACACCAAGAGCCTTCCCAGGGCATCAACTGGTGCAGGTCCACAGCAATGGTTCCAGCATGGGTTTCTTTGATGGGATGAGCAACAGGATGCTTTAATTAGGGGAAAAATCAAAATGACCATCAGGTGGACCTTCCTGCCCACGGGATTTATTGGGTGGGGAACGATCTCATCGGCACGTTGGAAGTATTGAAGACCCACCGAGGAACGGGCACAGGGAGTGGACCCAGGCAATGGGAGATGTGCTCCTTCCCCCTTCCCATCCTCGGGGTGAGGTTACCTGCCAGGATTTCTTTCTTTTTTTTTTTTTCTTTTGGTTGGTTTTTTATTTTTCCCCTTTCCCTTTTGGTATCGCTAAGGGGAAAGCGCTGCTCACCGCCAGCTCTGCAGCCGGATGGCTTCACTGCCCAGGTTGCATTTGGAAACGTCTTTAGAGAAGGGTCTGGAAGCACCCAGATGGGAACCAGGACACAGCAGGGACATGGGCAGCACGGGGACAAGGCGACACCAGGGTTGGGTGACTCCCTGTTCCCACGTGCTGGGCAGGGAGCAAACAGCACTGCGCATCCCCCCGACTCCTCACCCGCTCCGCACAGCGCGGCAGGAAGCCGTGCAGCCATGCACAGCATTGCTTTGCACGCCGGCCACTCAAAGCGTTCTCATTTGCACGTCTTCAAGAGTTTTTTCACCCCTGCAGGTCTCTAAATACCACAGCAAAAAAGAACAAGCCCCCACAGCTGTAATATTTTCCAGGTCCCCCTTCCTACTGCGCCTCTTTTCCTCTTTTAAATACTTTTTGACGCAAAATCTTGTCATTCGTGGAAGGCTTTGGATGGGTGGTAGAGGGGAACGGCCACAAGACCCAGAAGGTTCTGCAGGTGCTGAGCACCCAGGGGTGGTCGGATCAGGACCTCAAGGGGTCCTCAGGGCCCTTCCCTGACCCTGGAGCCCTCTGGGCTCCTCCACCCTCCCCCCAGCCGTCCACAGAGCGCTCAGCTGCCCACCCTCTGCCCCTTGTAATGCAATCGATTTGCAAAGGAAGAGCAAATAAAGGAAACCTTTCCCATAACAGAGATGAGGACGGGGACGACTCACCCGGCACGGTGATGCCGGAGCGCACGGAGCTCCGTCTCTGTCCCCTTTGTTGCAGTTTCTGCCTTCTCCTCACCCCAAAGCAGCCCTCGGGTTTATCGCAGAGGCCGATCTCGGTGCAGGTTTGGTGCTGTTTCACTCACTCAGCGTTTCCAGGCAGAGTTTGTTCACAAACAATACTTTCCAATCGCATGACGGAGGGGCGAAGACATTTGACCCCTTTCCTCTCCCGCTCCTCAACAAGAAGGAGCTCAGCTCAGCCAGGCTCAGCCCAAGCACTTGGGGACTAAAGGATGGGATGCAGCACAACACTTCCCAAAGCACAAACCTCCCTCTTCCACCCCTTGCTGAGCACCTCGTGCCATTCTGCACCTTCCATCAGTGGCACTTTTTTCCAGTTGCCTCCCAGGCTTTGAGATTTTTTGGGGAGCTCCTCTTTGGGAGACTCAACTTTGGGAGTTCTTTGGGGGTTCCTCTTTGGGGGAACTCCTCTTCGGAGGTCTCCTTTCTGGAGGGTACTCAACTTTGGGGGGGTTCTTCTTTGAGGTCTCCTCGTTGGGGTTTCTTCTTTGGGAGCTCCTCTTTGGAGGCCTCAATTCTGGGGGCTTCTCTTCGGGATCTCTTTTTTAGGGGACTCAACTTCGGGGTCTCCTATCCGGGGAGCTTCTCTCTGGGAGCTCCTCTCTCTTGGGGCGGCTTCTCTTTGGGGTCTCCTCTTTGGGGCTCCCATCCGATGGTATTCTGGTGTTTCCAGCTCACATACATGTACCCAAAGCAGCTCAGGGGCCCCTTGAAGACAACACCAAACCCCAAACCCCGCGGCCGCGCGCTTCCGCCCGTGCCAGCTCCGCTCTCCGAAACCCACATCGCCCCAGAAACCATCGGCTTCACCTTGTATGGGTTTGTAACAGCAGCAAACAGCCCCATGCACCCAAACTGCTGCTTGGCCACAGGGGCACAAAGGCTCTATCAATGGAACTCAAGGGAACCGGGGGAACTCCACCCCCTCCAGCTGCCAGGGGGGCTTGGGGAAGGGGTGACGGCCACCTCCCAGCTGCTGGGGCCATTTGACATTTCAACAACAGATTTTTGCCAGTGTGACAGGAGCTGATGGCACCACGGGCAGCTTCCTTTGGAAAGCAGAGGGAACCTGGATCTCAGCAATCACAGTCAGGTGGGTCGGGATGGAGATTCCCCAAGGAAAACACTCTCAGCTGGATTTCTCTCCCTTATTACCGCAAGCTCCCTTCTTACTGATTTATGGGGCAGATCTGAGATCCCGTGCTAAGAACTGAGTGAGGAGCTCGTTCCTCATTGCCCTGCACCCCTCCAGCAGAGTCCCTCCCAGCACAGGTAGGTCACCCCAAGCCCAGTGCTGGGAAAAGGACTGCTTATGGGACAGACCCCTCTGAGCAACAACACCGCATCACACCCCCGACCACCGCACACAGTCAGGTTCACTTCTTTCCCTCCCCTGCTCATTTCAGAGGAGATCACAGACCATGAAAACCGTGCAGAGAGACGTGGGGACAAGCTCCTACTGGCCCGCCAGGATTATTTTCATTGCACAAGGGGCGCAGACTCTCCAGCAAGCTGCAGACAGCCCTCCCTGCTGCCATGGGGTGTCCGATTGCCCCTGACCACCCCCATATCCTGCAGCATACAAGGGGCTCTTTGTGCCCAAGCAGCCACAGTGGCACCTGTCCCCCTCTGTGTCCCCACATCCCCTCAGGTCCTCAATCCCCCTGCAGCAAAGGGCTTTACGTGCCCAGCTGGCTCCTGCGTGGCTGAGCAGGGCTGAGGGAAAGCACAGTTGCTCTGTGCACAAGCATTTGCAATCCCTGCTGCTTTGCACGCTGCTTTTTTGCCATAGGGGTGCATGAGCCTGCCGTGGGCTCTTCTGGGCTCTGCCCACCTGGTGGCTGCACCTGGGAGAGCCACCATCCCATAACCGGCACCAAGCAACCCTCCCCTGCAAAAGCACACTTTCCCCAGCTCAGTTCCCAGGATGGACCCACAAACCTGGTGCAACACAGCAAGAAGAGCTGGCAGAAGAAGCCCAAGAGCAGGTGCTGCAGGTGAAGACCACAGCCCGAGAGCCCCCAGGAAAGGCAAACATTGCCCTCTTTCTGCCCACGCTGCAGCCTGTGGGGGTACAGAGGGGTCTCAAAGCTGCACAGGCACAAAGTGCCCCTGGGACCCCCCCCCCACAAACCCTCCCGAAGTCCCCTCCCCAGCGCCTGTATCATGCACAGCAAGAAAGGTGAGCAGGAAAGCTCCAGAGCCTCATCCACTGGGGAATTCACCTGCAGAGCCCCAGAGGCTGGGGATGTCCATGTCCGGGTTCGTGTCCTCTCTGCCAGCAAAGCCCCACGCAGAGCAGCCTCACAGGCGGCTCCGTGCAGCCCCTGCCCCAGGGGACTCGCTTTCCGGCTGGGCGTGCAAGGTAGAACAATGGGGCCGAGCCCTCTATTGTTCCAGACAAAAGATAAGCCGGGCTCTGGCATTCCCCAACCGGAGGGCAGGGACTGGCCGAGCCCTTCCCTGCCCCGGGCTCCATGGGGACAGGTGGAGAGGGGCTGCAGGAGGCCCTGCCCCTGCGCAGCCCCCAGCTCACACCTCCACAGACACGCACACACACACACACATGCACATCCTTACACACACACTCCATCCCTGCAGGCTTTGCCCCAGCTCTGCATTTGGCTTTGCTCCCCCTTTTCTTCAGCCTCACGTCCCCACGTGTCCCCATCGTCCAGCTGCGCACCCAGCACCTCGCCAGCCTCCTTCCAGCCCTTGGTCCCATTCTTTCCTCTCCTTGAGCTGTTCCTCTTCTCCGGGACCACTTGATGGGAAGGATGAGTGCTGCTAACCGCACACAGCACATGGCACAGCAGGCTCAATGCACCCCACAGGCAATGGGGCAGTGCAGCAGGGATGGGGGTTGCCCAGTGGAACTGCTTGGGACCCCCCCAGCCGTGCCCATGCAGCCCAACCCATCACCCACACCTTCACTTTTTCTGTGCTTTCACAGAACAAGGCTACCAACGCTCCCATACAAGAGAGGAAGAGCACAGAGAGCTGCATGCTGCACCCACGGGGCACCCAAACAGCAGCAGAAGGTGACAGCCCAGGGCTGGTAATTGCTCATTAAACATGGAATGCGTCCAGGCTGACCCTCTCCATGCCAGGGAACAGCACCGCTTTTGCGCGGTGCTGGCAATGCCTGCAGGCATTTCTCTGCCTGTTTCTACCCCTTTGCTTCTTTCCAGACTCCAGCCCAGCCCTCAGTAACTCCATTTCTCAAGGGCAAAGAGGACCAAATACCCCTCTGCTACCCCACACCCTTTGAATTCTCTTTGCCATACATCTCCTCCCAGCAGAAAACCAACTGCCGTCAGCCCCCTTCACCAGCCAGAATGGAGAAACAATGCCTCAGAACATCAGATCTCAGCCAGGGCCACCCAAAATGCTGCTGGAAGGATGAGCCCCATTACCTTGTTCCTCTGTGATGAGGCAGATGGGGTGGTGGGGCTGAGCTCCGCTTCCAGCACGTGCTCAGGACTTGCATCAGTGCTTTGTGGGATCCCATTTGGCCGCTGCATTTCCCCCCCGTTCCTTTTCTCCCTGACCCATCCCAGCAGCCTCAACACCAACCAGCAGTGCCCCCTGCATCTCCCCAGCGCCAAAGCGACAGCACCGGCCACACCAAGTGCCCTTGTTTGGGACTGGAGCACATCCAGCATTGGACATATGGCCCCGGAGCAGGTGGGGTGGTAGAAGAGAGGGGGGAAGGGAGAGCTTCCAACTGCAAAACCATTTCCAAAAGTCGGTGCCTTTGCCATCGCTCCTCCTGCTGGGAGCGGCCGGGCTGAGGGAGCCCCATGCTGAGCGTAGGGCACAGCCCGAGGGAGAGGGTTTGGCTCTGAAATATTCTCCAAAAGGCACAGGACGGGGGGAAGGCACCGACCGCTTTCCCAGCAGCACTGTCACAGGCCGCCCTAATTTATTTCCCTTTTGTCTGTTTTGTGCTGTGCAAAAAACTGGGTGGAAATGGGGTGATGCATCGCGGCAAACTTTTGAAGCAGCCCAAATCTTCCCCCTCCCACCTCCTCCACGCAGCACAATGAGACCCAAACCTCCAAAGCTGGTGAGAAACCAACAGCAGAGCTGGGGACGTCCCAGAGCTGTAGGGACACCACGGGGCTGCAGACCCCCAGGGCTGAGTCCCCATCAGACCACGGCCAGACGCAGCTGCTGCTGGATGCACAGAAAGAGGCAGCTCACACTGCTGTATTCTAGCAGAGAACAAACAAATTTCACCAACACTTTGCAGTGATGCTCCGCTCAGCACACAGCCAAACCAGAACAGAACAAAAGAGTCCAATGGGTTTTCCCCATGCTGTTGTCCAGAGCTGTAGGGAGTCACTGCCCTGCCCAGGAGTGGGGATTTGTTTTGCTTTCAATACACAGTTTGTAGGAAAATAAACGTGATGCATTTTAGCAGCACAGCGGAGCGCTTGGGGTGTAAAAGCAGAGCAGAGCTGTAGTGATGCGCGTTGAAGGCTGTCCATCTGGTGAGAAAGGCTTTTCTGCTCTGCAATCACACGCACAAAGCAGCTCCAACCCTAAGTGTTCACAATGGGATGGGGCTGAGCAAGCAGGAGTGCAGCATGGTGCCGGACAGACAAAGCTGGGCGCACATTGGGTGGCGTGCCCTGGGTCCATGGGGAGGGACAGCCAAGAGCAGAGCCAAACTGCATCAAAATCCTTCTGAGTTTGTTGGGTTTTGTTGCAAGGGATCGCCGAGCTGCCTCGGCTCCATGGCCATCCAAGCACCCTACAGACCACCCTCACCAACGGGGTTGCTCTGAGCCACCCCACGTGCTCCAGACCCCAAAGCCATCCCTGCCCCATGGCACCGAGCCCCCATCATCCCCAAGCACTCACCTCAGCGCAACCCACACTGTTGGCCACCGATGCCCCCATCCCCAACCTCTGTGACAGCAAACCAGCCCAGCGTCAGTTCCAGGAAGGCAACAAGCAGCAAACCCCTCCAGCAAGTAGCAAATGTAAAAATAAATGTGCTGAAAGGAAAGATTTACTGTGCTGCTGCTGCTGCGTGCCCTGCATGGAGGGAAAAGCCCATCCTCAGCATCCCATGGACAGAGTTAAATCCTCTCCAGCAAATAGCAAAGTTTACGAGCTGCTCCATCTCACTGCTAGGGTGCAGCTCCCCATGAGAATCGGGGGGGTTCAAAAAGCTCAGTTATTCCCTCCCCCGGGCACTTCAGCCTTCTGGAACAAACTCAGCTCTGAGGACTGTGCAGGGTCTGCAATTTGGGGGTCAAAAGCAGCAGCAGGGAAAGCTCGCCGCGATGCGCAGTGCTTTGCGCACCCAACAGCTCCAACCAAAAAGCTCCCAGAGCAACGAACGTAGTTCAAGGAGAAGGAAAAGGGATCTATTTGTAAAGTTTGTGGTCTCTGCTCCTACCTAATGGTGCTGCTTGGTGGGTGCTGAGCTCCTGGGGGGCGACGGGCTGGCAGTGCAACGAGAGCTGCTAAAAAACAGGGCACCCGCCAAGCCGACCTGCCCACCTCCACCAAAGGACAGCGGCTGTTTTTCATGCGACGGCCCCGAAATCGCAGCCTTTTAAAGGAGAAAAAAAACCCCCGTGCTGTATCAGTGTCAACAGAATGGATTCTGTGCAAAACTCAATTGAACTAAAAGGAAATTGCGCGGATTACAAACGCGGGTTATTGGCTCAATAGGGGAGTAACTGAGCGATACGATCTGGTCTGCGCCACGGAGAAAATAACATTAGCTGAGCTAATGGTCCTTTTTCACTCCTAAAACCTATTACTCCAGATCTGCTTTGGAAGCAGGGTGTATTTCCATGGAAATACCTCGCGAGACGGAGCGGCTTTGAGCGCTGCGCAGCCACAGATTGACATTTTTCCCAGAGCAACCCCACGTCCAGCACTGGCAATCAGGTTGGGGTGGAAAGGAGCAGAGCTTTGCATCTGTTTGTGCATTTCACAACCGCTCAGCTGCAGCTCAGGGTGACACAGCTCTGGGTTCCTCTCTGCCATCACTAACTTTGTGTGAGCTGCCCTCCGGCTCCCACCACACGCATCCCTGAGCCGAGGGGTGACACCAGATGGAAACCCCCCCACATCACAGCAGTGTAGGACCCCCAGGATCCCTCTCAGCGACCCAAATCTGCCATGAACCACCCCAAAACACGTGGCTGCGGGATGCAGTGACACGGATCAGCCGTAATTTGGGCTCAGACAGCAGACAGCTCTGTGCTGACCCCGGCTGTGCCCCGTGGCAGCGCCGCTGCTGCACTGTTGGAGCACTTTGTTGGATGGACAAACAGCAGCGCGGTGCTGCCAGCAAGTTTTCCTGCTCGTGTTCTGTGCCGGTATCCCGACGGCGTTGCAGGGATGTAGGAGGGGTTGGAGAGATAATACACACGGGCAAATTGCCTCTGCCATCCAACAAGGCAGCAACAGCACATCCATCCCCTGGGGGAGAAGGGAAGGGGTCCCAAAGGATGGGGACCCAAAGGATGGGGACCCAAAGGATGGGGACCCAAAGGATGGGGACCCAAAGGATGGGGACCCCTCCGAGCTGCGAAGCCCCACACAGCCGCACGCAGCCCCGCACGCCCCGTGTGTGGCCGAGGCCGGCTGTGCGCGGTGTGTGCCGGCACATGGTGTCTGTCTGGCCGCGCAACGCGTCCGCCTGCGTCGGTGGGGCTGCCAGCCCGACACCCGCTGCTCCTAAAACAGAGCGCACGGCACGGACAGGAGCTGGGACGCGTCCTACTGGGGGTCCTGGGGAGGGGGCTGCAATGGGATCACACTGAACACGAAGCGGAGGGGGGGAGGGTGCCGCGGATTAACCCCTTCCCTGCCGCGCTCTCGCTCTCCCCGGCGCTGCTCTCGGAGGAGTTCGCAGCCCCATAAGTTTGTAACAGGACTGGGGCCGCGCGGGGAAGGACGCGGAGCTCCGCTTTCCCCCTTTCCCATTTCGTTTAAGCAAAGGGGTGGCGGGGTTCTGCCATGCTGCCGCACAGCCGGGGTCGGGGGCACCGCGACCCGGGACGGTGCTCAGCGCCCCCAGAGCCGCGTCCGTGCCCTCCCCTCTCCTCTCCCCCCACGCAGTGCCCCACATGGCCGTGCCTCT